GGGGGGCGCTTGTGCGTAATGAAGAATCTAGTATTTCATTCTTTTTTGTGAACATGCTTAGTTTGAAAATTTCGTTTAGCATACTAACTTATAGGTGGCTAAAAATCTGGCATAGCGTAAAAAGAAAAATACAAACAAATGGGGGCTGTGTCACTTTGGTTGGGGGATGTTTAAAGGCTCTTTAGAAGTAAAATAAAAAGAAAAGATGCGATTAATAATTCAGAATTAGTTAACTATAACTGCCTATATTAAATTATTAAAGAATACACGTAAGTTTACATGATAAAAATTTTTTAAAATACGAAATGCGCTAAGAAATAATATACGCACCTGAACTGCACTTTTACCTAATACTAGTATTTATAGTGATAGTAGTGATAGTACAGTGTAACTGTAAAGTTTACCTTATTTTGCTATAACTAGTATACTTTAAAAAACTGACACAAATAAACTTGAGCCTGTTGGTATTATTATAAGTTATTACAGAGTTAATTTGAAATTTGTTTTTTCTCCCATTCAAAACATTTTTAGTATAAACGGAAAACGTATCAATGAATATTTTGAGCATTCAAATTGACTGTGTAGTGACAGTGTATTTGCTGGGTCATCAACTTTCGATTTCCTTGTTGTTGAACATAGCGATTGGTCTGGCCATTTACCGGAATCCTTGAGTGACTTAAAAGTCTTTTTAAAAATCCGTTCAATTGGGAGCTATGAAATATTTAAAGTTATCTTATCAAATACTTAAATAAAAACATCATTCAAAATGTGTGATCGATTGTAATGCAAAAAATTAACATAATTTATTCTTATTCATTGTTAAGTTGATTTGTTTCTTTTGAATATAGGTAGAAACGTCGGAGCCGTTCTTAGGAGTTTGGAGGCCCTAAGCATGGAGCGTAGATTTGGGGCCCTGGAAGGGGGGGGGGTCCGGGGGTGGAGCTCCCTCGAGCTGAGGATAAAACACCACAGGCCCCCCCCCCCCATGTTCGGGGCCCTACGCGCTTGAGAACGGGCCTGGAAACGTTTTAAATTCTGTTTTTATAGACAGAGGACTGAAGTTTTTTTTCAAAATTAACTGCCCCTAAAATTTACAAACCGTAATTAATACATTAACTTAAAAGTGGTCACAAAGCTTAATGGTAGCGCATCTTATCAGAAAATAGCGTTTGCCTCATAACAATTATAACAAGGAAGTAACGACTTCAAAATGTATAATCTAATGAGTCCCGTATAACTTGTCAGCCCAGCAAGGCTGCTCTTCCCTCTTATTATTCTTGTCTGAGTAAACACTTCAGCCATCTGATCTCAATTCTTCCCTTGTTACCTTTAATAGACACAAGAGCTGCACTTTAGCTTTAAAAACTTCACTTAATCATTCTTAAGCTAAGATCACACTTATTTGAATATCACCGGATGATAATTTCAACCGAAAGTCCAAAATGCTGTTTTAATAATTTTTGTGTTAATTTTCTATTATATCATGACATCTGTCATTTATTTAAATGGTTTTCTTTCAACTAGCTTTGTGGCTAAGTTATCATACATACTCACTTGTAATTGTCAATGCTGATATACCAAAAGTCAAACTAATTAAATATTTTGTCATTTTAGTTCAATATAGTTTAGACAGGCCATATAGTAACAATAACCACAGATTCTGTTTTTCTTTTAATATCCGGTTTTGGTCCTTTAATTGAGGGAGAAATAATGCCCCCCCCCCCCCCCCCGGGGGAAAAGCCAAGTGCCCCCCTCGTAGCAAACGGGAAAATTTCTGAAATAATCACTGCTCTTAATCAAGCACCGATTTCTAATTATCTTTTAATTAAGCTTACCAGAATAATTCATTATGGCTATTCTGTATAATATCATGCAGTAGGCCTATTCTCAAAAAATAATTTCCCCCGATTTTGAGCAAAGCACACGTCTTCTATGACAATACCGTGAAGACAACAACGTTTATAGATTTGGTCAGATGCTGCATCGTGTCCGTGCCTCTTTGGTACTAGTTTGGTCTCAAGAGAACAGTATCTTCCATCTTCTGCAATTTTCGGAGTATCATACGGATTTAAGCGTACCCACAGTTCTAACGTGTTATTTCGAGTAACCGCTTGATCCGCTGACAAAAGTAACGAGGCAAGACAGACAGAGAGCACTGGCTTTCAATGACGCTTGTAACAGAAATTATGATCACTTAAACGTGTGTTGCCGTTATCTTCAATAGTCTAACGTCTTCTCAATGAAGTTAAGATCTGCATCCAGATTCAGAAAAGGAAGCTCGACAAGTACCAAACAAATTTTAAACGAAAGACCAAGATTTTTACAGAGGAAAAGAACACCAAAGCGAAGGGCTAGAAAGATTTGCCGTTAATAAATGGATTCCGGCCATTTTAGCAGTTTTCTTGATTCTTGCCCTATGATTTCGTCATTGGCGTGAGGACTGTTTCCAGAGCTAGACGCCTAGAAAAAACACTGTTTTTCTATTCATATCAACTCTAGGCACTTTGTGTTCATTCATGAATGCCTCACTCAACACATTCCTGTATTTCACTGCGAGTTTAAAGTAGGCCTACAGAAATAGAAGTATTCAGTCCTAAATATGAAAATCTGCCCTAAGGGGTTTAGTCCTAAATGTGAAAATCTGCACCAAGTGGCTTAGTTCTATGAAACTCAGCCCTGAGGAATTTAGTCCTAAATATAAAAATCTGCCCCGAGGGGTTTAGTCCTAAATGTGAAAATCTACCCTAAGGGGTTTAGTCCTAATGTGAAAATCTACACTAAGTGGTTTAGTTCTAAATAAATTATAAGCTGAAACTAGCATGAAATTAGGCAACAGGACTGAAACAGCTAAGTATTGTTAATAACGAACATCTTCAAAAAATATGCATCTTTTCCCACCATGTGCCCCATGTATGGGGAGCATGTGTTTGGTGAGATCTAGGGTTTCACAACTTATTGGATCCACAATTTTTATATAACACTGCATAAGCTATATAAATTCAAGTTCAGTTCTAATAAAAGAGAAGACTTTCTATCAATTGAAATACGAGTGTAAATGTAAAGAAAAAGTAGAAAATAATATTTTAAAAAATTCTTAGAATGCTTTATGCAACACTTACTAATACTGGAGTTCTTGTTTAGAATTGCACAAAAGGATTTGGGATTATATAATTATGGTTTAACACTCATCGAATGATATCAATGAAATCATGCCCAGTTTCTAAATTTAGATGGCCTACCAATCCTTAGAACGGGCATTTTGAAAGAACCAATAAGATTTAAACTTCTTCTACGTCCAACATTTAATTTATTGTAGTGCCATTATTGAACGTGTGCAAAAATATTTACTTTCTTAATCCAGTGAAAAACCATATAAAATCCTGAATGGCCACACAACTAAAAAAAAGTCTAAAAGCCGTACTTTGTACTGGTAAACGGTATAGCCCAATGTGCCCTCCTGAACAAACATCTAAATAAGACATAACGACATTACTTCTTTCACTGCCAAACACTTCAGGGCATACACCTTAACGATCAGAGTACACTTACACTGCCGTGGTAGCAGAGAAACACCAATTGAGGAAGACCTGAACAGTTTTCACCAAGATACATACCCAAAAGGTGACTGGATCCCAAAAGGGGACTGGATCAGGATAAAAGATGAAAGCAAACATCAAGAGCACAGTGGAGCAGGCATGAATTTCAACACAAATAGTTAATGACACATTTACTTTAGCATCAAATGTTACTATAGAGTTACCAAATCGACATATGACAGCACCATGTAATTGGAGAATTAAAGCAGTCATGTAATTGTTTAAAGTCACCAGCAAAAGATGTTGTTAAGCATCAAAGCGCGAGGTTACTCTCAAAAGATGTAACAAAAACAACAGGAACAAAATACTAAAAACTTAATTGGAAATCTTGGTCCTTAACCAGAAGCTGCTTCAAGAAATGTACTGCATTTCTCATAGATATAGAAAATTTAAAATTATAATAATTATTAGGAGAAGTTCTACGGAGTTCCTTTTATAAAACCTGGTCATTATACATATCCTTTTTCATGCTTGACATTGAAAACCACTGTTGTACAAGATAAGTACCCAAATTTTGGGGTAATAAATTATACTAATTTATAATTATAAAACATAGGAAATTTTTTGAAGAGGAATAAAATACAATAATTCAGTTAAAATTATCGGTACACAAAATAACTCTTAGTTTCTCACAAATAGAAAACAATTTTATTACTATACAGTAAAAACACTTATTCATTTATAAATTTCCGCATATCGGAGTAATTTTTTAAATGAAATTCTGGGGTGGTTAAATTTAAATGTTTATCTTAAACGTGATATACGTACAACATGAATCACTCACACAACTCAACATTGTGAAACCAAAGGTACAAGAAGAGTTAAATCACAATTTTTTTTTTTTTTAATATATATTCTAAAATAAATGCACCAGAAATATCTTTAAAATATTGAGCTTATGTTCAATTCATTTTACATTTAGATCTAAATTATTTGGTTAAAATTTAATGACATTTGAATACAAAAGCTTAATAAAAACAAACTTCAACAACAACCTCAATGTGCAATTTTAGACCATTTATACATGACCACCATTTTTAAGTTAATCAAGGCAATAAATTTAATCTCCGTTATAATAATGCAAAATTTTCTTAATATGAAACATAAACATAAGTGCACATAATTTTAACATTTTTACATTTGTTAATCATTGATATTGATACTTTTTAATGGAAATTGAAAAATAAATATACTTTAAACTTCACATTTATTAATAATATTACTGCTCGTTTAGATCCATTCCCCTAAAGAAAATCATCATGTAAATGTTTTCTTCTTGGGGCTATTTGCAACTTAACTCATACAAACATGGTGCATCTTCAACTGGTGTGGGCAATGCTGATAATGTAACAATCAGCTCCAGTTCATTTGAATTAGTTTTACTAGTCTTCCCCTCAAAATACATCTATCACCACAGTGGAGTTTCCAACCAGTGGTGAAGTTGAAAAAAAAAATAGAATGGTTACAAACAGGGCTTGATAAGAATAAATCTTTTAAGAGTCTGATACAGAAATTAATCAAAACAAAGAAAAATTTAGTCCAAGTGTATTGACGAGCTCAATTCTGTAAAGAAATAACTCTTGGTAAAGCATTTTCTATATGATAAGGCATGCCTCTTGAGAAAATGGTAATGAACTTTTTAAGTTGACAAATATAAAAGAATCCACCATGTTTTTTTTTATGGGTAGATTGTATTGTACTTTTGGACTTCACATTTTGGCTGGAACTTCTCATCAATAAAATATTTTATGTTGCATTAGAAACATTTCTTTCTTTTAATTTGGTCCAGTTTTTAAAAAAAATTATGGAATCAGTGCTCTAACATAATAAAATCAAAGATACTGTTAAAGCAGAGACGTTAGTAGAAGATAGAGACCATCCTTAAAACGGGCATGGAAAAAAAAAAGCAGAAATTTTTCCACAAACGTCCCTACCAACACTTTTTTATGATACCATTATGCATATGTACATATGAGCTCCTTTTGACCAAGTAGTTTAAGGCAACTTAGAATATATTTAGATGTTTTAAGTAAAGTACTGTACTTAAACTATTATTGTTCTTTTTGGGGAAAAAATTTAAACTGGGCTCAGACTCAGAGATATTTGAATTAACCATCAAGCTATCCCTGTGGCGCTACAGCCTATGTAGGGCTGTGGTCTGTCTTACCAGTTCCTTCTTTTATTTTTGACTATTTTGTGACTACTGAAGTATGCCCAGTTTCAGGCTGACATTTTTTCTTTTATTTCAGTTTTCTTTCATTAAGTATTAAGGATCCTAGATATTTGAATTGATTTACTTTTCCAAAAGTGGGGTTTCTATAGTGGTTTCATCTTCTCTTAACATAGGCATGTTTTTTTAACTTCCAGCCCTGCTTGTAGTGATGTATCATCTTCTAATTCAATAAAAGCTTTTGATATGTCTTTACTACTTTTCCCCAACAGTGCTATGTCATCGGTGTATGCAAGAGAATTAAGGGGTTGGTTGTAGAGAGCGCCCATTGGTTGTGGGTATTGAGTTTGTGATTGTTCTCTCTCATATTTTAGGTTGAACAGCTTAAAAGACAGTGAGTCTCCTTGTCTTAGGTCTTGTTTAATCTGAATGTCCCTTTAATATTCAACCAGAACATTGATTTTGCTTTATGAGTTGTTTAATGTTATATGTATCAGTATCATTCTACTCTTGTCAGTTTGTTGGGTATGCCAAACTCCGGCATAGTCTCATATAGATAATTCCTTTTGATGCTATCATAGGCCAGTTTATAGTCCAACAGAGTTGGTGCACTGGGTTATTATATTTGTAACACGTCTCTAATAGGCATCTGATGGTGAAAATCTCTCATTGCCAACCAGTAATTAAAAATTAGTTACTGTGATGTTACAAAGGTTTCTTTCCCTTGGTTTTTAGAAGTTCTTCATTTTCGTCAACATACTTGTCTCTTGGATCTTCTTCATCCATAAAATAATAGCCAAGAATCATAAGAGTAATTGAAAGACCTGAAACAATAATTTTTGTTGTTGAAATGTTGATGTAAGTAAGAAAGGACGAACTGCTTATATTAAGATTTATGCATTTCAAAATAAAAGAACAAACACTTCTCTTTAATTATTTGTTTAGCCTTGAATGTAAGTCTACTATTTATTGTAGTCCAACTAAGATTATTTAGACAATTTAATTTACTATAAAATTGAACATTTGGTGCACATTGTACTGCTTAGAAAAATATCCAAAAAGAAAATAAATCTACATTTATGTATTTAACATAGAGATCTATGTCAGAGATCTTATGGGAATGTGGAAGAACATTTTATGTCTGTGCATCCGCATGTGGATTTGGATCACACGTTTATATTAATTTAATATCTTTGTTCTTTGTCTATGTCTGGGTTTAATAAAAATCAACTCCAAAATAATGATTTCTTTGGCCAAAGCATAATTTTCAAGACTTACTGGAGACTATGAGTGGAGCTATAATGCCTGCTGTTGTAAGGGATGCTGTGTTATAAATAAACACCTCAGAGGTAAAGTGGCCAAGTGCAAGGACAAATGACAGTAATGTTATTATGTAGAGTCTGAAAATGAAAAAAAAACAAACAAAACAAACAATGCTTTAAATTACAGAACAAAAAAAGTCCTTTAGTTGATTGAAACAAAACCAGTTTAACCCCAGAAGTTAACAAAATATTCATACATGTTATTCTTGTTCTTATGGCACACAAATGCTAGTTCCATTCATCAAAATACATATACTATAAAACATACGCTAGCCCCATGTCATATTAACCATAAAACTGCTTTTTACACTTGTAGTAACTGCTTGGTGTAATCAGCCTCAGCATTTTAAACAACAGCTGAAACAACAGCTTCAGCATTTTAAACATCAGCTTCAGCATTTTAAACAAACTAGCAGCTTGGTTTTTAAAATCTTTTTTTGCCTGCTTGCGATTAGCAATGCTAATGCAGTAGAGTTCATAAACAAGATTGAACACACTATCTCTTTTTAATCATAGAGGCTGATGATTCACCAAGAATCGGATTGGCAATATGCTTGTATATTAATATCATTTGATAAAAACTTGAATCATTTGGATGACTTATTTTTGTTCTAAGTATATTTAGTCAGTCTCTTTATTGTAATCTCCATTTGCTACATGTACTTATACGAGGAACAGTGGTCTTAAGATGGGTAAATAAGTGATTCTCAGGCTTAACGTTATTATACCTGGGTACTTTGAAGGGCTTCTGCCAGCTGGATAAAACATTACGAGGTTCGCTCATGCCTGCTTGACATAAATAAGGTATGGTATTTGGATTTATAAAATCTATAAGTCTACTATGGGCTTTCATGCAAAATGGTTCTAAAAAATTAATAAATTTCTTACGTCCGATTGTAGATAAAAAGCCCACAAAGAAGTCTAACAATTCCAGACAGCAAAGTCCATATGCCAAACAATCTTGCAGCAAGTCCACTAACTGAAAATAAAGATTGAAAAAAGCTTGTCATAAAATAATATCTATGAGGCATTGGATTGAGTGTGAACTATTGGTTAAAGCCCTGCTATTTTATAAAGGCTGAAATATTAATAATAATAAATAAACTAGGTAACTTCAACTAATTGACTGTAAAAACAGGTATGACAAAGCATCTCTGATTTTGAGACTCCTGAAAATCAAGGCATCTGAGTACAGTGTATGACAAAGGTATAGTGGAGATTAATTCCATTTAAAAACAACATAAAAAAATCAAAATTTGGTTTTATACACATTTATTTGCTGCATCTTTGTCTGGAGTAATTTTCAGCGTCTTTGTTTTTGACGACACATGTACTGGTGGCCATCTTGATGCAAATTTCAATAGAAATTTAGTTAAATTTTATAGTGTTTACATGTTAAAAATACAGACCGACAATTTTTATTGTCATAGTCAATGTCACATGATGGAAAAGCATTAAAACACTATAATTTATGTGTATTTAAGTCTATTTAAATGTTAAATTGTTGTCATATTTTTTATTGCTTGCATTCAGACACCTTATGTCAGGTACAAAGTCATGTAATGTCAGTTACATTATTTTGTCACTATTTAAAAAAAAAAAAGTGATTTCTAAGTAGTTTTTAAAGGCTTTGCTTAGAAAAGTTAACACTAGATAATTATTTAGAAAAAAATTATTTCAATTAAAACAGATTTCCGAGGAAATCAACAAAAAAGGCTAACTCAAATAGTATGTCTTCTTCATGTTACATCAGTTACATTTCTAAAATGTATTATTTTTAATATCATAATATACTTAATATATTTTTATAAATGCTTGCTTGGTATTGTTTTACTTAAGACCCAATACCAGATGTAGTTAAAAGTAAGTAGACTTAATGAAATATGTATTTATACTGGATGCAAATTTTAATTATTTTTCTAAAAGTTACCATGGAATTCACTTATAGGTAAAATAAGAGATGTTCAAGTCAGGGGACTATCCGTCCATAATTTCACATTATTTTGGTTGATTTTTTAGCGCCCCCATCCCCCTCCAAATCAACCATCACAGACACCCTCATTTTACACATCATCACAAAGTCGTGACACCCCTCCTCCAGAAGATCCATTACATCATTTCTGGGTGGCCATTAGAGACAAGAGACCGACAGTCCTACACCATTAAAAAATAGGCCTACAGAGTCCTTCCCCACCACCTGGTCTTTTAAAATAGTAATAGGTCTAAAGAGAGTCCTGCATACTACCTGCTGGCCTTTAAATTTAAACAATAGGCCTAAATGAAATCCTACCCGCGGGCCTTTAAACAATAATCCTACAGGCAGTCCTACACCATACGCATGGCTCTTTATTGATTAATTAAATAGTCACTTCCCCCTAAAGAAAAAATCAACCTGAACGGAGTTTATTTGATAACGGAGTTCAGGTTGATCGCTTCGAGCCTTTGGGGATGAAGCGTGCTTTTCAAATAAGCTTTATTATTATTATTGTTATTATGAAAGCTCTCTGCACGACAGCACTCACTCACAGTATTATTAATATAAAACATCATGAGTTGGGAGGAGGGGTGGTTGTGAAGAGGAATCAGGATGAACCAGAAACAAAATAGATACCGGTATAATAGTAATAGATGTGGACAGTCATTTGATACAAACAATACTAATAAATACTAATGACTAATAGACTAATACTAGTAATACTTACAGTTTCAGTTACAATTAATTAGAATTAGACTAGTAATTGAATTACCAATATTAATATATTTGTTACTCCACATAGACATAGTAAGACTACCTGGCTGCCTAGTCATAATTAAAAGTCTTAAGACTTAAGATAATAACTTGGCATTTATTTAGACACACTATTTGATTTACTTAATAAATTTAGATTATTTAGTCAAAATGACTTTAGACTATAATTATTATTATTTTTTTAAAGTTCTGTTGCACCTTTACTGTACAGTACAGTGTACTAGACTAGACACTATAGTAGTAGTAGTACTAGATCTAGAGTACTAACCATTCCTTTCACTGACAGTGTACAATCTATCGTACAAATATGTAGAGTTCATAAAGCAATGGAAAGTATTTCCAAATGCCATGATAGCAACAAATGCAAGCCATATTCTCAGAAAGTTAACAAAGAATGGAGTTCCATTGCTCTTGTTAAATTTCTTTTTCATTTTTGCAAGTAGTATTTTATTTTTCGTAATTTTGCAAAGCAGTGGAGTGGAGATATTTGTTGTTGTCGTAAAAGCCGGTTTCCTTGTCGTGTTATTTATATGGACATTATATGCACATTTTATAAGCAATATTCAACCTCTTTTTTAAAAATCAACTTTATCTGGAATTAAAATATTTACACAAGATATATGCGTTAAAATTTATTATACAAAAAATAAATTTAAAAAATTCAGTGAAATACTTACAATTTTGTTTGTGGCAACAGCAACGACGTAAACAATAACAAATTAAAGGAAACAAAAAAATTCAATTAGATCTAGGTCCAGAGCAAACTCAACATTTTTGGTACATAAAATAATTTGCAAAGTTTTAGGACCCATATTAGATTATTTGAATTTAAACATTTATTTTTAAAGACTTTTAAGCTTTTTTTTACAAAGCCTATATCAAAATGAGTTAATTTAGTTATATTAAACCTAGTACTTCACTGAAGTCTTCAGTCTTCAGTGTCTTCAGTACTAGAGTTAGAGCATACTTCAAGGATTGGAGACGAAGGTGAGAACCCACCTAGTTAGTCTAAAAATTCTAAACTAATCTCTGTGACGTCCCGTGAAAATCTTGAGCTTCCTGATCCCAGGCACATGAGCCGAAAATTTTATAAATTCAGTTTACTCAGTCAAAGTCACTCATAGTCATAGAGCTGCTGGTGAGTAAATAAACGTTTAAATATATGCCATATGTCTTTAAAAATTATGACCTCCCTGAGTCTATAATATATAATAATGAGTGACCCAATATACACTCATCAAGTCTTCATTCTGTAAATAACACGACTGCAAAAACAAAACATTGATTACTTTCCCCAGCATTAAACAACATTAGTCATAATATATGTATACTTTTATAAAGTCATGTCAAGATAATTGATATATATAACATATGACATGATTATGACCAAGTTTTGAGTGGTTTTGAAAAATGTCATAAAAAAGTTTTGAAAAATATGTGTCCCTCTATCACACATCATCATGTGTAATGCCATTTATAAATATGCAGCTTTGAACTTGACCTTTGAGCATTGCAAATTTCACAACAAAAAAAGAAAAAATCTAATTAGGGAAACTATTTGAATTCATGCTTCATCTTACTATATATAAAAAAACTTCAAAATCACACTTTCAGGACTAAGTTGGTGTTATGAGCCAGATGCCAGATAAGTTATGGTGACCTTGAAATTTGCAGCATAATATGATCATGTATGTTTCATTTCTGTTTTATATAATTCATTTCATGGTGTTGAAATTGCTAAATTATAAAATTGATTAGACTATTTTTTTCTAAACTTGACTTAAAATATGTCATTAGCTTTAAGAAAAAAATGAAGTATGGGAACAACCTTGGAAAACTTACCTTCTTTTCCTACTTTTAATTGGGAGAAATTACTTGATGAAACTGTACAATTTGTTGCACATATCTAAGTTTTTCAGAAATAAATGACTTAGTATTTTTATTTTGTATTAGTATTAGAAGAGACCAACATTTTTTATGTGTGTATCTCTTTTTAATTCTTCATGAAGCATAAGTTTTAAAAGTGCTGCTTATGAATCTCGACATTCAATGCAGGCTAAAAAGTTTGGTTGTTAATAAAACTTTTAACATTGTAACATAATGCAATTTCACTAATACATATTATTCTATAGCAATGTTATTGTTTGAAATTCTATTAGTTGTTTAAATCACAGATAAGTATAATGGTTTTCAGTTAAACTATTATTTTTATTTTAAATGTAGCTCCTAAAATGGTTTGATTCAACACTGAGATCACCATGCAAAATATTTTCTGCCCTGGATTTTGATGATGAAATGAATACTAAAGAAATCTGATGTCAAAAATGAGTAATTTTCCATGAAATCTGATGTCAAAAATGAGTAATTATGCATTCTCTCATCTACTGTTTGTATTGATTGCTTAGTATTGCATAAAAGCATGTCAAATCATTTTATGAATGCCCAGCAAATAAAACGGAATAAAATAAGCATACACAATTAATTTTGATTTGGTTGTGGCAATGTGCCACTATATAAGAGAATCCACTCTCATAGTCATAGTGTGACTGCTATGGGTAACCCCAAGCACGTACACATCCATGGTCATTTAAAGTAACACTCAGCCGTGTACTGGCCTTAAATTTTATGTTGGTTATTTACACGCGGGAATAACCATCCCTGCTACGGGGTTGACCCATGGTCAGCTCGGACGCAGGTTCCCTGTGACTGTGTGTGTGTGTGGGAGGGGGGGCGAACTGGGACTTGAGGTGTGTACACTTTTAGATTGTGGTGTGGAACGGATGCGTCGGGTCGGCGGCAGGTGTGAGAGATTTTCCTGTCGGCTCTGTCAACGGATTGTACCTTACATTAATTAAAAAGCTATAGTTCTCAGACCTGATTGTTTATTGTGATTTTATGTAAACTGTAAGCTACGTCACCACTCGGCTACAGTAAATCATGTTTAAAAAAAATTCTTGAAGAAATTTATGTCATTTAATTTTCAGTAAGATCCAAATCGTTATCTAGGAGAGAAAAAAATGATGTTGAAGAAGAAAATGGTGTCCTATTTTGGGTTAACAAAAGTGGCTTTCCCATTGATGCACCCACTTGGGAGCGCATGTGGGATCACGTAACCAAAGTTCATCCTGATGGTTATAACATGGTAAAAAAGATTCAAAATAAGCAAGACTTACCCCAGGTAGGTACAATTTATTTCAAGATTTCACTGCCATATTTTGTATCCATTGGCGTTTGATTGAGATTGGTTATGGTACAGACTGAATGTAAATACAAGTAAGTTTATTATTGATATTCATGTTATATCAGTTTTGTATATCATATTCAATTGATTCAAACGCCCACAGTATTCCTTTTCACAGTATAAGAGACAAGAGATATCTTATTTGTGTTTTTGTTTCCGGATTGAGAAAACGCCATGAAAAAAAATTTGAGCTAATTATTATCTGTTTTCTATAGATTCCTGTTCCACAACCACCATTATCCTTTAACCCTGCAATGTCCATCCAAGAGCGTCTTAAAAAAATTCAAGATTATATGAATGAACTACAGTATCCTTGATGAACTAATTAGCAATTTATACAAAAAGGTCTTGAAATATTTATCTAATGCTATTTTTATCTGGAGCAAGAAAAATCATCCCACTAAATTGGCTAGCCAAACCTCATTGCATCTGATTGGCAAATATTACTCTTAAAAAGTGGAAATAAAACATCGTCCTAAACTTTGTATAGATATAATCACACTGGGACCCAATTCTTTGAAATTAGAAAGAACCGACCTATCACAGGGTAAGAAAAGTAAATTACTAAAAATATCTATACCATAGAAAGAAATAATTTTTTAAAAGGTATTGAAAATCCCATTTCTCTTAATAATGTTCCATAAATTTTGTATTTTATCTTATCGATAGCCTTAACAAGTTACTGAAATGGTATGTTATAAAGAAAATGCAATTTAGCATATATTTTAAGCCTTTATATTTTTATTTCTAAGTTTGTCACTTTTATTTTTCAGTTTGATGGAAACTGCCAAAGAAATGATTAGAGAAGCTCTGCCCATTAAGTGCTTAGAAGCTGTTGTTATGGGAATGTATCCTTTCTATGTATGCACTTAAAGCTTGAGTTTTAGATCATTACAAATAACTTTAAAAAAAAAAAATCATAATATAGCCATAATAAATATAATATCATAAATGAAACTTGTAATATATTTTAAATTTCCATAAATTATGTTGTGAAAAATATTGAATTCAGATTTTTATTTAAATGTCCATATTATCTTTAAAAACAATGATGTAAAAAAAAAAAAAATTCTTGACATTTTGAAGATTTCTCACCAATGGCATGGTTGGTGTAGAAAGGTTTACAATAAGCTTCAAGACTCTCTTCAAAGATCACCTGCATCGGCACATTGTTCTAGGAGTTTCTCACGGTGGCTTTTATGGAGCTATTGGAATGAGCAGAAGAGATGACTTGATGTATAAACCATTGGAGTTTAAGGTTTTTCATTTTTAGTTGTCTGGTTGTGTTAAATTAATTTCTAGAAATTATGTTTACTGAACATCAGGTATTGTACATGTAAGGGAAATAACTTCACTTTTTAAGGATGTGGGACTCTTTGAAACTGCACTAATATATTCTTGTATAGAGTTTTCAGGGGATAAAATGAAAAAAAATATTAATAATTCATTTCGTACAGAGCTTAGCAGATCTTGTTTTGGACTTTGCAAAGTGCTATAGAAAATGTGAGTAAGCCTCTATTTAACATTTTTAAAAATTATGCTGCCTCCTTTTCCTCTTTAAAAAAAAAAACTTTGTTCAAAATTTTAATTTTATGTATTTGCTAAAGAAGAGAATCCATACATTTTGAATCTTATATAAATTCATATTTTTTTTTCTCTATATGTATAATATATTTTTTAGATTATCATTCTGTGAAAAAAGTTAAAGTGGGGCTACCAATCATCCATGATCCACATTCTTATGAAGTCATCAATTGGAAGGTACAATAGTGCTTTTAAAAAAAAATCTTTTTACTTTAACTCCATTTTTCTCCCTCCCTACCCCCCCACTTAAAAAAATAGAGATATTTAGATTTTATTTGAAAACAGTTAAGAACATTTAATCAATTGTAGCCTTTTAATAATTTTTATTTAAAAAAAAACTAGTAACATATCTTGTTAAGGATGGTATGCTTGATGAGAGTATTTTTTTTCTTAACTTTGGTTAAAAAGATTTGAGTTTTTATAATATGGCATATGAAGGTTAAAACTTAAAAAAAAAATATTAAAAAGTTATAAAGGAAGATGCTGAAAATTTGGTGAAGACTAAAAGTAAGTGTTAACTTTAAATGTAAACTTGTATAGCAAAAAGGCAAGCAGCATCATTGGTTAAGAATCCAAGATCTTACGTGAATTAAAAAAAAAAAATTAAGGAAAGATTATTTCTATACACCCAGAATAAGAAGTGCAAAAATAATTGAAAATTAAAGGGTTAGTGTTAGCACTTTTTAATTTTTCAAAAAAACTTGTTGAAAATTATCTTTGATATTTACATTTACAGGCTCTGATGGTCTCTTTAAACAGGAACAATGAGAAAGAGTGTATCCATGAACTAGACAACCATGCTCGTAAAATGAAAACTTTAGTGAGTTTTAAGGAGATATTCATGCATCAATGATTCATTTTTAGTGATAATGCTCTTTTGAGGCAATTTAATGCTTCAATTTTTCTAAATAAAATAATAATGCTTTTAAGAGACCGTCACAGGGAATAAATATAATGTTACTACAATACTTTAGAAATTTCAATTTAAATATCAGCATTTCATTTGATAATTGTTTTTGGTAATTTTAAATAAACATGTTTAAACATTTAGGTTTTGTGTGATAAATTTCTCTTTTCTAAAAAACATGATATTCCCACTTTAGTAAAGATTATTTATACCAATCATTTGCTTTTTTAAAGTCCAAGTCATGGACAGCAAGCCCATACTGTACCTTAAAAACAGTGTCCACCGCTGAAGCATTGAGAGTATTACCCATAGACTCATTTTCTCACACCATGACTCGAAGATCGTAAGTAATCATGGTTTCAGTTTTAAAACACATTTTTTAACTTTTGTAACGTAAAATTTATAAGCAGCTTTGTTTGGCCTTTTCGTAAGTGGAAAATCAGAGTATGGTATTTTAAAGTGCCAGAACTATTGTTAGGGGTGTAGGAAAAATATGATAACATTTATTAGTTGACTAGTTAACTTCTAAGGAAAGTTTCAGGAAATGTGGAGGTATTTATATGTGTAATAAATTCATTAAATTTGTTCTTACAGCAATTATTCATTCAAAATTTAATACATTTATTGGAATTTTTTAAGATTAGTTAAAAATACTATACTTGTTCATTTATTAATTTTTGTAAGATAGATAATTATATTTCATGGGCAGAAAGTTCCCCAAAATAATATATAGTCATTAAATTTATTGCTTTATATACTTTATTCCGTATCATTACAGAAATTCTGTTGTGACCCAAAGTCTTCTTAACAGCCGAAGGAAGAGCAGAAGTACGCTAGCCCTTCTGGCAGACACAGAATATCAAATTCGCATCTAATTATCTCATAATTGCTCAAAATCTAATGCTTTAAAAAACAAGAAAACTGTGATATTATCTTTATTAAGAACAGTTCCCTGTGTTAAAAAAAAACAATAAATTAATTTGGGGACAGATCACTGAGCATGAATTCCATGTGTCTTAATTGGCTGAACAGCAAAACTGAATGACTGTTTCACTAAGAACCAATCCATGTTCTACTTTCATGAAGTAAAAATTACAGTTACAGTACTTGTGGACTCTGCAGCACAAAATGTTCTTTCTTTTTTTAATTTTGAAGTTTTTAATTAATTTATTGAATTTAATTATTAACCATTGCCAATACTTTCTCAATATTAATGGCAATGGCTGAATATTGAAATAACTATTTTATTACACTTGTTCATTACATTTCCAATGGAAGAAACTTGCTGATGTTTTGAAAAATAGCTCAAAGTTTTAAAGGGTAATTTTAAAATAGTTGGTGGAATGATATTATTTGCCATTTAAAAAAAATGTATTTAGTTTATTACTATAATATTATTTATAATTTTTGTTTGTTCAATTCAACTGTGTTGTTTAATTCTTTTTATTAAATACTTCCAAATGTCAGAGTTACCGGTACACAGTATAAAAAATGAATTAGTTGTTTTAAATTAAACCTAAACTATTTAAACACCTGACATTGTAAGCCTTTATAAAACCCCATACTTTTTAACAGCACTGCAGCTCCCCAAACCGTCATTAGTAAAACTAGTCTAGTTATTAATGTTGTACAAGTGATTTGAAAAGAATTTAATTTACTACAATTAGACTAGATGGAAAATCTCAGAAAGAGGTGTATTAAGTCAAACCTCTATAATAATTCATTATTTTATAATTAATAGCTTCATTTTATAAATGATATAGGCTTACAAGTCTGAATGATTCTTCACACATTTTTTTGTAACCATTTTCATTGGTTTGAGCAGTTGTTTGGTTGATTTCTATTAGTTTTGATTAAACTTTGTTTATAATTACTAGTTACTTATATAAATGCACACAACCCAAGTCATGAGAGGCTAAAAGTATGTTTCTAAACTTTGTAATGGAATGGAATTTAAAATTAAAGAAAGATAAATATTTAACACAAAATTACCTTTAAATATAAGGGCAGAAAAAAACAGTGGCACCAAAGCAAATAAATTATACTTGTTAAATTGACCTCACAATAACTCAAATAAAGGAAATCAAATTAAATTAAAACATAATAAAACTTTAAATATATTTGTAATACACAAGCCAAAAAGTTGAAAAAGCGAATAACAATTCATTGCTAGAATGTGTATGGTTTTATTGTCATGTTCCTGAAATGTGTATAGCACCTTCTGATGTTTAAAGACAGTAAAGCAAGAGTTTTGCAGCTTTAGCCCAAAAACAGTGTAAAAAAAAATATCTAAAATTAAAATCCCCTATATTTTGCTTATCATTGAAACCAGTAGTAGTTTAAGTCACAAATAAAAATTATAGCCACAAATATATATTTATGATAAACAACCTATAATTACCAGCTTGTTCTATTTTGCAATAAAATTAGAGAATGTAAATATCTCATTTTTACACTCATGAATTTTTCAGTCATTTTAAAAATATTGTATAGGTGATAATTAAATTAAAAAAATAATTTTTGGTCTAAAGCACGATCCAAAATGTCCAACTTCAATGTTAGTGTTCCGCAGCACTTTGGCAGAGAATATTGTATCATTTGCTGATGTTCCACTTCAACAGCCATTGTAAGAACAATCCAGTACTGATGAATTGTGTGAGATCTTTTTACCTGGAAGTGATCAAAGAATAAGCTATTTATTATAAGTTAATAATTAAAATTAGATATCAAATTATCAGTTAATCAGTTTTTTAAACAAAATGTGTATAGAGAGAAGGGAACATATATATTTGATAATATGCTATGCATGTAGAAAACACTTTCTGCAATAAATGTGATGCTTTTTTTTTTTTTTAAAGTAGGAATATATCACTCAGGTTATTGTTGATATCTTAGCAAGTAAAGTTTTCAAATTGACATTTTAGATTTCAAATCAAATTTTGAAAAATCACCTTTTCACAGTAACAATAATAACATGACATATTTATTTTTGGTCTTTCTTTGAAAAAAAACTAAGAAACTGAGCCAGTTTAATAAGAAGTTAGTTATCTTGACCTTTTGGGTGGAAAGAAAGGGCACTCCTCCACAAGTTTGCGCATATCTTTGTAATCAAGCCCACTTCCTACATCACTCAGGAGCTCCCCTCTTGCATAAACTTTAAAGGACGGAAGATTTCTTGAGAACACGTTTTGTTCCTTGCATATTTCTGGGTATTCGGTGCAGTTGACAGCAGCGAATATATGCCCAGTTTCTTTCTTAGTAGTATTGGCTGCCTTGAAAAAATGAGGCTTGCATCTCTGGCATTCTGGGCACGTGGGATCATAAAACATCACAAGAGCAACATTTTGTTCAGTGAGATATTCTTTAAATGTCGTATCCTGAAGTCCCATCACGAATGAGGAACCTGTAAAGGCATCCGGTTTTACCTTTCTCGCTAGTCTTTGTGACGGCGCCATGACAGTGATTCGATTTGTTTTTTGGTGCCTTTTTACTTATCTTATACTTGGACTGGGCAAGATAATGTAATATTTTATTTCCGGTAGCTTGGAAAACATTTATTTCTTACAGCTTCTGACTGGATTTGACATTTAATGCATATCAATCAGAACTCCATGCATTTTCAATTACAACAATCTGCCATGATGTGACATTCTGGGCACAATTTTTGTTTACGTAGATCTCACATAATGACGTCAGGCGAATAATAACGATTTGGTATTAAGGCTTTAAATTAGATTTTTAAACATGCACAAAAAGATGAAATAATATGACACTCTTTAGAGATATGAAATACAGAATGATATCACAGATAAAAAGTTATAAAAATTACTACATAGATGCTGTAATTATGAGATGTTTAAATTGATGATATTTTCAACAATGCAGGGTTTCCCAATTTGGGGTGCTCGCACTGTGCGCGGTGCCATTTCAAGCTGTGAGTGGATAAATGATAATAAAAACAGAGGAACCATCATCCGAATATTGATATAGAAATGCGTACTGTGTACAGAATATAGAAAAGCTACGGAAACCCTACATAAACGGATCACATGGTAGCCAACATAACGAAGGAGTACCAATAAAAATGTAAGATTCTTAGCACAAATATCCAAATACACTCGTTTGGATTCATACGTTTTCCTCCAATGATAGACATTTCTGCACAGTCATGTAGCTGGAATTTGTAAAGCCCGGGGCAGTCCATGTTTTTTTCCGCCCTTCAATCACGAATAGCACAAAAACATTCGGAATTAACATCAAACGAAGGGCGTCCGTCCTGGGCCACACTTGAGTAAATGTTTATTACCAACATTTTTAATTTTCGATTGAAGTTGAAGAGAAGATTTTTGTGGAATTTATTCCACTTCCATCAACAGTAAGGCATATATGGACGAGGATGGCTAAGATGGGTGCTTGGTGGCCGAGCGGTCTAAACTGTCTCAAACCAAATAGCAGTGGCGCCAGTGGTCCGGAGTTCAATCCCCATTAAAGCCAACATCCCCAGCACCCCGGGTGGATGGGACTCGTTAGCCTTGGACGGCAACCCATCTAAGAGAAGGCAAACTCTGAATTAAAACCAGGAGCCATAATGATCAACAAATTGATCGTGGGCCCCTCAAATATAAGAAGAAGAACATTATATTCGGGAGGGTAGAAAAAAAAACGTTTTAAAGAATGCCTGAAACTGTTTCTTAACGCCACAGATATCGACCCGAACTCATGGTCAAAAACACTTGATTTGGAGCGCAAATGTTGGTGAGGCAGACTAACTGTTGGGACATTCCCCACCTCCTTCAAAGAGAAAACGCGCAAAGAAAATGCACAGCAAAGGATAGCAGAATGGCATCCACTACCACCAAAACCCCCCAAATCCGCGTACCTTATGTGTGGGGGAAGTTTTTCAAGCATAAAAAAATGATTCGCGTACTCCCCTTCGAATAAAGCATTAGCTAACGACAAAAATGTTATTTTATAGAATTGTGTATTTATAGAATTGAGTATGTGTGGGGAAGGGGGGTTTAGGGGTGGTGGTGTGTGTGTGTGTGTGTGGGGGAGGGGATGATTTTGGGAGTTCGGAAACGTCAAGGTCTATTCTACAGGACATTTCAAATCACTTAATAGCTAGTTGGATCAAATGCGCTCGGGCGACATGGACGTTGCAATGCCAAGGCAGTCCATCAGTATTTTCTTAAAATAGCGTACGTGTGCTTGTGGGGCAAGGGTTTCATCAATGAAATGGCGGAAGGGACTCGATGAGTGTGATCAGTCAATGGATTGGAGAGCGCTATACTAGCCCCTGGCGAAATATTTTGCTCGTAAAGGAAGATGTCAACACACGTCCCAACTTAGCTGAAAAAAGGGGGGGGGGCGGGGGGCAAGGAAGCACACCATGGTGCAACGCATGATCGTAATAAACGGAAAAGCCCTTTGAAAATGACAACAAAAAATAGGGATGAATTTACGAAGATAAGAAAGCGTGTTTGTACCTCTTCCACCACCCCCTCCCTACCTACCCCCGTCCCCACTTTCTGTTTCTGACATAATAGGAATTAAAATCACACCAAAAATACATCGCCTTCACTCGAATGGTGTGAACCGACTCAAAGCACTGCTTAATAAAAAAAAACAACACACCCAAAAAAAAAAAAAAAAAAAAAAAAAAAAAAAAAAAAAAAAAAAAAAAAAAAAAAAAAAAAAGCCAAAAAAAAAAAAAAAAAAACACACGTAAATCAATAAGGAAATGAAAGTGGAATCAAAAAATTTGAACAGCTTACTGGGATCAAAGTCAGCCAGTCTCTGCCCACTATTCGCTTTTGATCGCTAAACAGTTTAAAAAAATTTAAATTTGTACAAATGAACATCGAATTAAAATAAAAATGCGAAATAAAACGAATATTTAACTATACTATAAACGTCGAGTCAGAAACAACTGCTTGTGTATTTGATAAACATTTATTTGTGTACATCGTACATTGATGTATTTTGAACTGTTTCTTACAAAAGCGTTCGAGGAGCACGGCTGGAAAGTTCTCAATGACAATGATGTTTCTGCATTGAAATAGTTTTTGACCGGCAGCCATGAATGTCTTAGGCTTATGCACCTCGTCAGCAGATGTGCGCTGATTAAAATTAAAGTTGATTCACAAAAAATTGATTCCACAAACAAAAGCCTTGATTTTTTCATTAATTCTCGATGGCATTTACCAAGGCACCATATATTTTTCTGCACAGTATTTTTTATAGACTGTGGCATTTGTCCAAATGGTGAAGATGTTAAAAAGCGTTCGAATCATCACGACGAAACTAAACCACGACACTTGTTCTTCTCTTAGTCGAAGGCGTCTTTCGACGGAAGCCGGGAGGCGATGGGCGAGTTTTCCACGTATTTCTTCATGATTTGGTAATCTAACTGATGGCCGTACTGACCCACATACCTCCCCTTGGAGTAAAGCTTGAAAGTCGGGAACGAGTTCACCAGTTCCTCTCGACACAGATCCGGTTCTACCGAACAGTCCACCGCGGCGAACCCGTGGCCGTCCCGTTTAGTGGTCTTGGCGGCCCGGACAAAGTGCGGTTTAGAAAGGTGGCACCTGGGGCACTTGGGATCGTAGAACATGACGAAGGCAATCTGGTGATCGCTTAGGTACTCGTGGAAATTTTCGGACATGAGGCCAGAGACCTTGGTGCTCTCAATGAATGCATCGTATTTGAGTCCTTTCCGGGGAGCCATTACAGTGGACGGTGTGTTGGCGATGATCTGGACGTTAGCAATTTTCAGATGTTGTATCGGTGATTCTTCGTGCAGATGTTTAGGAAGATACGCTACTTGGCTGCCATTACTATCTCGAGAAAGGATGACGACAGATGAATGCACTGACTGACGTCATTTGGCTAGTGATTTGAACAAATCAAGTTTCAATTTAATTTTAGTTGTGATAATTACACACCAAATTTATTGGTGCGTAGCATATTTTTAATTGAAAAAAAAAAGAAAAAGAAAAATGCTGAAGAGTTTTGGAAATAACAAAAAAAAAAAAAAAAAAAAAAAAAAAAAAAAAAAGAAAAAAAGTTTTGAAAAAAAAAAAAAAAAAAAAAAAAAAAAAAAAAAAAAGAAGCTATCGACGTTTCGGTGTTTAATTACTTGATGCAGTCTCAGGTCCGTTGGTAGTTGTTTGTTTGTTGTTTTTCTCAGTTACGAGTGCCATCACAATACGATGCACCTCATACCAGTTATTATTTTTTTGCCCCCTTTTCCCATAGGAGGAGATGGCTGAATCGTAAACAGCATCTCCTAGATGAGTCCACTTTGAGTAGATAGTGTCAACTGGTGACCCTTTAGCAAGGCTATCCTGCAAAAAAAAAAAAAAACAAAAAAAAAAAAAAAAAAAAACCCCCTTTTCCCATAGGAGGAGATGGCTGAATCGTAAACAGCATCTCCTAGATGAGTCCACTTTGAGTAGAAAGAGTCAACTGGAGACCCTTTAGCAAGGCTATCCTGCAAAAAAAAAAAAAACAAAAAAAAAAACTAGAAAACTGCTGCGTTTTTTCTGGGATGTTTGAGCAGTGGATGTTAATGCGTGGACCACGCTTCTTTTAAGTATGGTGAACTTTCTTTGGCATCTTACTTGGCATCTTACTTGCTGCCAGAGAATGGTCCGTGTCAAAGTCGGCACTATGGCAGCTGCGGGTGTGAAGTACACTGGCCAGCTCCATGCGCCAAGTGATGACGAGGTCTAGCTGGTGCCAGTGGCGGGTTCGTGGGTGTCGCCATGACACCTTTTGGATTTTTTTTTTTACACTTGAAGAAGATGTTTCTAACACATTGACCATGGGAGCAGCACAACTCCAGAAGTCCGCGTCCGTTATCATAACCAAGGCATGAAGGCCAGGTTTCTTGATCAGCTTCCCCTCATAGAAAGTCTCCCGGAATGTATAATGCTTCGTTGTAAGGAGCACATGATCATTCTTGGTCTACGGCCTCGAATAACAGATCTTTATCTCCTGGAGTCGAATGAAGAGTTGAAGCACACACGCTGAATATATTGGCCCTGCCTGTAGCTGATGACATCTGCAGAATCCTCTCCGATCCCAATGATGGAGGCTCAATGCAAGCCAAGAGTGTGTTTTTTGTATGGCGCATCCAACACTGTGCTGGCTGGGTTCATCTGTGGGTTCCCCTGCCGGTAGAATGTGTAGCGGGCTTTCTTAACGGTACCACTTATCCGCTCGTCTGGTCTCTTGGGGGGCAAACAATGTCAACGCTGTGTCAGGCGAGTTCTTTGCCATAGTGGCAGTCTTTCTCGCATGGTCAATCTGTTGTAGGTCAAATCCAGGACATGTGGTTCTTACGTTCCATGTTGCGAAGCGAAGTGGTGGCGTCTTCCTTCTATTTATTTTCCTTGCAGTACAAAAAATCCCTGCTCTTCATGAAGTTTCCTTTGGGCCGAGTCGGGTGCTCTTTTTGTCCCCAGGCCGAGTCGGGTGCTCTTTTTGTCCTTAAGGCCGAGTCGGGTGCTCTTTTTGTCCCTAAGGCCGAGTCGGGTGCTCTTTTTGTCCCTAAGGCCGAGTCGGGTGCTCTTTTTGTCCTTAAGGTTGAGTCGGGTGCTCTTTTTTTTTTACATTCGGTCCAGGTATTTTGAGAAAATACCCAGTGACCGGCGGGTCTGAATCCAGTTGTTAAAAAAAAGATTTATCTTCTCATTTTCTATAACGTGTTCTACCCAAAGGGAAAAGGGCATCAATACAATACAAGCAGTGGCGCTCAAGAAGGCACCCAAGGTGAAGGCTTCAAACACTATTAGCTAACCCAGTGCTTCTCAACCTTTTAGGTTGCGGGACCCCTTTATAAACATGTGTCAAGTTGTGGCGGACGCACAACCAGAATTGAATCTTGAAATTGAGAAACAGGCGTTGAGAAAAGAGATGTGGGGGTGGGGTGGGGGGTGGGGGCAGAGCTTTTGGGTAGATAGTGCTAAGAATGTGTGAAGAGTTCTGTAGAATGGTTTTCAATCAATCCCCCATTTTGGTTTGGATAAAGTCACACACCTGGTTATAGTTTTGAGTGGAAGCTGCCCCCCCCCTATTTAATGTGAGTCAATTGAAAAAAAATTAATTAACAACAACATTAAAAAAAATGACAATTAGGATATATATATATATATATAATTTTTTTTTTTATAAAAAGAAAAAAAACTGACAAATATTTACACTAAGCTTATGGCCCTCTACTGAATGAATCTGCCAAATATTTACACTAAACTTATAGAACTGGTCTAAACATTGTAAAAAAAAAATCTAAAATTTAAAAAGAAAAGTCAGATAAGATAAATGGCCCATTTCACCCCCCCCCCCCCCCCCCCCCCCCTTTTTTTTTCCTTCTCAAATTTCTGAAATGTAGTTAAGTATGGGTGAGACAATTCAAGGCGCAGAGTTAACCCCCGACTTTTCTGGGTTGTCTTTCCTAATACTGATCGTTAGAATGGTGCATTTATTTAAGCCGGGTAAAAAAAACAAGAAAAAAAACACACAAAAAACTGCTTCCCAGTGTTTTCAACGGTTTAGAGCAGGAGTTCTTAGCCAGGGATGGCCACACCTTAATCGGGGTGTAGGGGGTGCCAGCAGTGTTTCTTTCAGAAATTTCCCCCCAGGGGGGCACTTCAGATTATCGGGGGGGGGGGGCCCTTCAGTTTTTGCCAGCATTTCCAGTTGATTTATTGTTGGACATATTTTTGCTCGGCAGTGCCCCCCCCCCCCCGGAATATAGCTGAAAGAAACCCTGGGTGCCAGGATGTGCCGGGGAAGACCGAGAAGTTTTCGAAGCAAAATTCCCAAGCGGGTCCTAGCTTTATGCTTTTTAGGATGGGGTGTTTCGGAAGTGGTTAGGGGCATATGGGACCCAGAGGCGTAGCTAGAGTTTTTGGCGCCCGGACAAGAGACAAGATTCATTTTAAAGCGCCTCCCTTTCTTTTTTCAACTCTCAAACTCATCAATAAAATAATATCGCATTTTGGCGCCCTTAACTACGCCTATCGATGGAGATCAGGTCAACGGACCAGTTTTACGCCTAGGTAAAGAGTAATACGTGGGGCTTTTGTAAGCACCCGTTGTTTAAAAGAGTAAATCATTCTTCTATCTTTTAAAAAAATGCTTTACGCAAAGAAAGAGGTTGGGGAGTCCCAAGTAAAACGACAAGGAATGGTTCCATTGTTGGCATGATTCTATGCCGTCTCATAAATCTAATACACAATACAAATTTGACACGTCATGTCACTTAACATAAAGCCTTATTTTGTCAAGCTCATTCTTCTGCTCTATTATAAAACTGAAACACAGGGGCCATCCATTTAGTACGTACACAAGAAAAATCAATTTTTACACACCCCCCTTTTNTTTTTTTTTTTGGACCCCTACATTTTTTTTACCCCCCCCCCCCCCCCTGCGTATGCACAAGAAGCTTTCGTAACCTCCAACCCCCACCAAAAAGTATTAAATTAAAAAAAATAATTTAAGTAAAAAAAAAAAATCATATTTATAGATAATTATGACGTCACTGGAAAAAAAAGTGTCACAGGTTTACGCCACTGACAGTTTGGCCAGCCCAGTGGTTCCCATAAAATACGCCGCGTCACTCTGGGTGCCACGACGCCCTCGAGATAGGCCATGAGAACGGGGCAAATAGGGCTGTCGCACCGGGCGCCAATATCACGGGTGCCAAAATAGTCTTTAGGTAGGACCTCAACAGCAAGGTATTATATCTAAAAATCCCATTTACTTCAGGAAGACAAAGGGGCGCCAAAAATCGTCTTTTTCCTGGTTCACCCCGGGGGCGCACTTCTATATATTATTAAGTGTCAACATTTTCCGGCTCCGCCCCAGTTGCCGCTTTTCCTAGGTACGACCTTGTCCTGGTTTGCCCGCACGTCACACACACGGTGGACGAAATAATACTGCTACTAATGAGAACTAATTTAGCGATATCCAGAGAGTTCATAATTTGTGAAAACACAAAGCAATACTATGACGATTAAAAAAAACAACAAAACATTTCGTGATATGTTTACAGCATTAGAGATACAATTATGCTATTTTGGTACGGTACTGTCAGGGATCGACGAATATAATTGCAGAATTTTTAAATAAATGTAAGTACCTTCTGCCGAGACCCACCACAACCCCCCCCCCCCAATAATAAAAATAAAAAATAAAATCGGGCCTTAGCACGCGTACGCGTTTGGAGGTGGGGGGGGGTGATGGAAGAGTGAGATGAAGGGGGCGTTTGGATGATGGGAGGTTGATATGATGGGAGGTTGAGATCATGTGAGGTTGGGATGATGTGATCTTGGCATGTTGGGACGATGGGAGGTTGGGACGGTGGGATGTTGGGAGGTTTGGCACGTTGGGAGTTAGGGACGATTAGGAGGTTGGGAAGATGGGAGGTTGGGATGATGGAAGGTTGGCGTGTTGGTAAGTGCATTGTATTTTCAAATAAATTATGTTGAATAAAAAAACAAAACAACAAACAAATGTGTGATGGAAAAACAAAGAAACAGCTCAATAAAATGTACAAACTTACTTTTGAGTTTGACTGTGCCCATAAGAATCAATCTCACAGAACAAGATCCACGACAGTAGACAACATACACGGTCTGCTTGGAAGTGCCACACAACGCTGGTTTTAATCCTTGAAATTGTGAACATTCACCCCAACAAGAGTGGATTGAGTTTTACTGCATCTTTTAGATTTGAGAGAAACTACTTGACTTGGCGGTCGCCCTCTTCCAAAAAGCCTTCGGAATAGGAAACTTCTTATTGTATCACGAGTCATACATAGTGTGTATTGATCAATACATCAGTGGGGTGGGTGATCGTGAAACGGCTGCTTAAAGCTCAGAAACGGCATCGGGTACACCAAAAAAAAAAATCATAGGGTACAGCAGAAGACAATAGTGTTTTTTTTTAGTATAAGAGTCATTCATGATAAAGAGAACGTGGCCATTCACTTTGCTAGAAAGGTACCTCACCGCGCTTTAGTATTTGCTCTTCCTCGTGCAGGGTGGGTCCTGCTGAGGGTTCGGCTTGAGCTGCGGGATCGTGAAGCCGGCATCGATGAAGTCGTTCATGCGAAGGTAGTCCATGGGGAAGTCGCGGTGGCTGATGTACATACCTTTGCTGTACAGCTGGTAGGTGGGCAGGCGACTGATGCCCTCCCGCTTGCACAGATCCGTCTCGGTCGTGCAGTCGACGGCAGCGTAGGCGTGGCCGTCCCGCTTGGTGAACTTCGCGGCCCTGGCGTAGTGGCCCCGGGAACGCAAACAGTTAGCACAGTTGGGGTTGTAAAACATTACCAGTGCCGATTGCTTATCGTTGAGGAATTCGAAAAAATTGCACTCCAGCAGACCCATCACTTTTTCAGAATGGACGAACTTATCGGGCTGGACGGGGACGATCTTTCTGCTCATGTTTGCGAGAGTTGCGGTGGTGCTGCGATGGAATTTAAATACTCGAACGATCCGTTGAGGAATTCTTATGATGAAAAAAAAGGCGTAGTTGGTACAGCTTTTCTCCCCCCTTTTTCTTTTCAAAGAAAAAGAAAACACGTTTGTGTTAGCATTGACAGGATGTTGATGGAGCGCCAACACGCAGGTTTTGATGACGCACCAGTAACACTATAGTGACATCACGTTGAAGAAGTTGCATAAAAAGTGGGAAGACCGCTTGAGAAAGTTACGAAATCGCTACACAATTAAAAAAAAAAAAAATGTGCTGAGGGAGTAACTTTGAAATCGGCGTGCTTAAGGGAGGGGGAAAAAAAAAAGGGGGGGGGGTGGTGAGTGAACCAGGGCCGGCCTTTGGGGTGTGAGACCTGTGCCCTCGCACAGGGCGCCTTGGCCATAGGGGCGCCCAGTAAATATTTAAATTCCCTTAGTTTATTATAGTGAAGTGTGAACCTCGGGCCCGGGGTCGAGAAACGGTATCCTAACTTTGTGTACAATCGCTTTTTATACAGAGAGTTTTCATACTATGAAAGCTGCATTCTTAATTTGGTTACAGGGCGCCGAACGGGTGCTTCGCACAGGGTGAAAGTTTACCTAAGGCTTAACTTTTAAAACCCGTTTGCATATAATAGAGCTGTAGGTGGATGTGTAGTTTTAGGAGTTGGTCGAAGGCGCATTTAGTCAAGGTACCCCACTGTATATTAAGTGTTGGATTAATACCCGTGGAGGACCCTAAATAACGCCCCCACCCCTCCGGTGGCGCACCTAGGGGAGTGTGAAGGGGTTGACACTTAAGGGTTTATTTAGGCCTAAAATTATGTAAAGTAATGGGTTTGTGTAGAGGGGCACACTTTATGGAATTCGCCCCTGGCAATGATTATTCAAGGTGCACCTATTTTCTATCAGTGCGCCGCCCCCCCCCCCCACACACACACACACAACGCTCCATATAGGTATCCTTCATTTTGAGTTCGAGTCAACCTCGTGTTAAATATCAATATCACGATGATAGTTATGTAAGAAAGGTCACAATAATAAAATAACCCACACACACACACACAACGCTCCATATAGGTATCCTTCATTTTGAGTGCGAGTCAACCTCGTGTTAAATATCAATATCACGATGATAGTTATGTAAGAAAGGTCACAATAATAAAATATCACCAGCTGCTTCTTCCCTCACCTACTTCTGTTGGCTATAATCACCTGCTCCTTGTTATCACCAGCTGCTCCTTGCCCTCACCAACTTCTGTTGGCTATAATCACCTGCTCCTTGTTATCACCAGCTGCTCCTTGCCCTCACCAACTTCTGTTGGCCATAATCACCTGCTCCTTGTTATCACCAGCTGCTCCCAGCCATCACCTACTTCTGTTGGCAATTATCACCTGCTTCTTGCTATCGCCAGCTGCTCCGGGCCACCAACTACCGATTCTTGCCATTGGCAGCTGCTAAGCTTCAACCATGTCCAATCCAGAAACAGCAAAACCTTTTGGAAGTGTCCAATAATATCTGGTCCAGGAGAAGCTTTGGCATTCTGATGAAACAAAAACTAAAAGGATTCTTAAGCTACACTAAGTAAAAATAAATAAAGATAAACTAAACCAAGTTGGTAAGATTTACTTGGACGGATGGAGAAGTAAAACATTACCAGTACATATTATTCATATAAGAACTTGTTTTCGACATTGTTATAGAAAGAAAATATATGCTATAGAAGAATTTTTTTTCCTTCAATATTGCAAGTCATTTCTTTTCAAAATATTTCTTTTTTAAAAAATGACATATGTAAATAAGTAATTTTATTTGCTTTCTAAAATAAATTAACTCTGGTTTGTTAAAGGTAAAGGGTATGAACTTGGAAATGCCTCAGACAAAGCTGGTCTTGATGTAAATGTATGGAAGACAAAATATATGGTAATGTCACGACACCCCCAAATTAGGGGCAACTATAAACCAGAACATTGTTCAATAATGTCTGAAGGGAAAGAAAGGAAAACAGCAGGCAACTTTTTCTATTTCAGCCTACAAAAGCTACTGGGAAGCGAAAACCTCTCAAGGGGAACAAAGAAGACAATGTACACCACTATCATAAGACCGGTAGTAACTTACGCTAGTGAGACTTGGACCCTTACCAGAAAAGCAGAGAACCTTCTCAATACATGGGAGAGGAAAATTCTCATAAATATATATGGCCCAGTGATGGAAAATGATGTCTGGAGAATCCTTACAAATCAAGAGCTATACCATTTGTACAAAGACCCACCCATAGTCTCAACAATAAAAAAAGGGCAGACTGCGCTGGGCAGGACATATTGAAAGGATGCCGGAATGTAGAGCAGCAAAAGGGATTTGCAGGCAGATGACTCGCCGGTCACCCAAGACTGAGATGGATCAACAATGTAGAGAAGGATTTACAGCAGTTGGAGGTTTGCGCATGGAGGCGGAAAGCCATGGATCGTTTCGAATGGAAGTATGTGGTGGAGCAGGCCAGGACCCTACATGAGCTGTAGCGCCACTGATGATTATGATGTTAAAGGGGTGATAAACATAAGGCTCATCTAGTTTTGCTATGCAAAAACCTCATTTAATTTTGAAAATATCTTTAAAAGATGTAGGGAATCCTATGGCATAACTACCATGCTATTTTTCAAAAAGGTAGTCATTTGGTCACCCTAAAAAAGGAAATCATACACCAATGCCAAAAGACACCATTTAAAACTGCATCTATTGCTTTCAAATCAGAATTTTCCTAGCTTGGTTTAGGCTGGCAAAATCAAATTGACACAGAGTATAGCAACTGAATTTTTATAACCAGATGAATGACAAAGTATGTATGAGCCATGCAAGCAGGGGTGTCATTTCAGTTTTTTTTTGGGGAGGCGGGGGGAAGACCAAAAACTTAGTCGACTTGTTACATTTTTTTATAACTGGAGGTGCCACAATACATAGCAATTTAAATCAAACCTGGACACCTACCCAGATGACGTCCCTGCATAAAAGTTTTCAAATGCTATAACTTTGGTATGTGTACTGGTACTTTACACCGAAGCAAATGCTTTCTTATATCAAAAAAAAAAAAATTCCATTTACAATTCATTTCAAAACAAACAGGAAGTGTGCAGAAATAATTTTATCAGACCTGCCCAAAAAAAAAAACAAGGGCTACAACTTTCCTTAGTTTAAAAGTTTTCAAATGCTATAACTTTGGTATGTGTACTGGTACTTTACACCGAAGCAAATGCTTTCTTATATCAAAAAAAAAAAAAAATTCCATTTACAATTCATTTCAAAACAAACAGGAAGTGTGCAGAAATAATTTTATCAGACCTGCCCAAAAAAAAAAACAAGGGCTACAACTTTCCTTAGTTTTATCTGATTATTCCCCCTTTGAGACCATGAAGCAGTTGACAATGGCCCCATTAATTTTTTTATAAAACAAAACAAAAACTGTTTAAAATAATGAATTATCAAATATCTTTATTTAATACAATCTATTTCTTTGAGCCCATAAGCACTTTACAACAGCCCCATTAATTAAACCAAACAAAAACTGTTTAAATTAATTAATGATTCAACAATATTTATTTTATACAATCTATTTAGGTATACTCATGTTTTAAAACTCATTATAAATAACGCCACATGGTAGAAACAAAATCAAAATTAATAAAGGTAAAGATGTTCATTGTAAAAGTAATTTAACACAGAGGCACAGGTTACTTATTAGTTATAAAATATCTTTCTTTTAAAACTTAAATTTACAGAGTGGGTGGTCATCTCAAAAGAAATTTAGCAATAAGGCACAAATGGTCAGATGGTAGAATCGCATTAGGCAAATGTCCCATCTTGTTCACTTCTCTCTTGGTCAAGAGTCTATATCTTGCAAGTAACACGAGGGGTTCCATCTTGGTGGCCGGTGCATCAATGATGAGATCCACACTGCTGCCACCCTCAACAGCGCTCTCTGTCCGTTTTTCAGCTTCTGCACCCGTAGGGTTCACCCCAGAGTAGAACATATAATCAACAGTGGTGATGGCCCTGTTATGACAGGTGCTGACCTCTCGCACACGGTTGCCGGATTTGTACATGAAGTGCTCATAAACTGATTTAAAATTCATCTTGTGGAACACTTCACCTGAATTTATTGTTAAGCAGCCGCCAGCATTTTGAGTCGAGTTCTGTCTGTTTTTTACCTGATCGATGTACTGGCAATGCTGAGATATGTTCAATTCATGGGGCAGCAGATGTCTACCAACCCCTCTGTCCACACCTCCCATTTGGCCTTCCTTCTGGCCACACATTAGCCTGCAGATGAGCCCTTGATACTTGAGATGTCCAGATGTAATGAAATTATAAAAGTCAGAGAATGGCTCTGAATTGAAATCTCCACAAAGTATAACAGGACAGTAAGCAGAAGCATTGGTGTTTGGGTCAGTACCTTGCAGTATTGGATTGTTAGTGGGATCAGCCCAACTACCACTGTCTTGAGTTTTGGCTTCTGTGTCTGCTGATTTATTTTTAGTTTTAGTCTGAGATTTTCTAGGAGAGGCATGCTCACAAAGTTCCCCATCCATCATCCCTCTAGGATTATTGGTTTCCCCATCATTCTTGCTCCAAGAACCAGCGTCCCCTTCACCTTGTGCAACTGCCCCATCTCTGACATCCAAGTGAGCGTGCTTGTCAATCTCAGCCAGGAGGACCATCAGCTGAGCCAGCTTGACGTCTCCACGTCTGGGATTAAACAACAGGTGGGTCGTGGCCACGCAGACTTTGTCGACTTTGCCAGAGTAAACTGAAGACTGGGGCTCGAGAATGAGAATGAGGCCGATGTTACCACGATCAAGAATTCCCCCTCTCATAAAGCTCACAGGCACACACTTGAGTAATCTGAATTTTTTTTCTTTGTACAAAATAGCACATCCATCGGTTTGATCGTTATCTTTCTTCTTGAATTTACCCTTGTAACCTTGACAACAAGAATGTAAAGGACAGTTGTTAGAAGGCAAAAATGTAAAGTAAATTGTGTTGTGAAACTTAAATTTCATCTTTTAGAAATCACCAAGGGAAAAATAAACTTCACCATGCAAAAGCCAAGTTCTTGTTTCAAAACAGATTTTATTTAAAGCTAAATAAAATATTAAAATGGAGGGTTATGGGAGTTAAAAAATCTACATGGAAAAACATTGGATTATGCTATATCTACTAAGACATACAGTTTTAATTTCATATTTTAATATCTAACAAGTCCTACCATATGCCTCAAGAGTTTTACATATGTCCTTTACCCAATGGGCCTCTTGTACCTCTTGCAAACATACAATCTACACACGTGCAGAGAAAGTGCAAACATAGCAACCTATAGTATACGTGCTGTTTCAATTTGAAATAAATAAGAAATACAAATGATAATAAGTGAAATACTTTTGCATGACAACAGCTGCTGGCTACAGTTTTCCATTAGCTTGACAAGATTAACTTTCTACATAATTTATAGTCATGACTTTGATATTTAAATGGAAGATGCCACTATCAACCAATTCTTTTTAAATATTTGACAGCAAATACGTGTAAATGATATAGTTCCAAATACAGCAGATTAAAATTCAGAACTATAGACATAACACTGAAATTGTATTATCTGAGTCACAAAGAAATTCCTGCAATAATTTTTATATAAAGATTTTTCCATTCCAAATCTCTAGGTCCATGAAACTATTTCAACACAATGTCACATTCACTCTGAGATATAGAAATTAGAAGCTGTCTGACAAAATAACCCTTGAAAAAATGTGCAGTACTTTTCTCCCAAGCTGTGTATTTGTGGCACAGAATCACAAAGATTGTTGTGTATATATTGAGAACATGTTTTCTATGATTAAATTTATGTTTCCAAAACAAATATAAAAACTATTCATATGAGTAAATGTCAAATTAAATTTTAAACACTCACAAATCTATAAAAAGTTATAATCTAAAAAAACAGCCTAAGTTATTCTGATCTTACAAATTCTAGAAAACAAGAGATTTGCAACTACTTTCTTTATAGTTGCAAGTTTACACACTACTGGTATTTATAATATTATTGGCAGAACATTTAGCAGAGTAGAATTATCCAAACATCTGGGAAATACACTCCGGCAGAGCCAGGCTAATTTGAGAGGTCCACTTTACTGCTTTAACAAAACCTGCATTTATCCTGAAGACAAAATACTCTTAACTAATTGTAAAACATCACCTATTACTGATATATTACTTAGGAAAGTGAATGCTAAGTATACTTACATCTGCATTATGGGCTAGGATCTGTGTCAATAAAGCTTTGGATCTGTTTGGCCATTCCTTGTGCTTATCATGACATTGAGAGTAGAGATCCTGATGAAGCCACAACAGTTCATCAGCCAGGATGTTGTAGGACATGATCGTAAATTCCATGGCTCCTGGGCTGGGCCCTGGGCTGCATAAAGTATCCCAGCATCTTGGGGTGCTTGTTATTTCTGTGTGCAATAAAAAAGATATACAATCCTTATACAACAGTTGGAGACGTTAAATGTATTAATTGTCATGACCTATTTATTTAATTTTTGAAAAAAATCTAATTCTTATAATTTTAAATAATTAATCATGTTATTACAGTAGATTTTAAACTAGAAGGAGATATGAGTTTTATAATTATTTTATTTCAAATTTTGAGCAGCTCTATTACTTTTGAAAGGATTAACAATTGTTTTTGCTGATGTGAGAAAATAACATGAGAACAATTAAGTCCTAGCTCAGATGGACATTACAATAACAAAGGGTAGCTATTTTTTGTTAAAGATAACAATATAATTAAAATTAGTTAATTTATTAAAGTTAGAATAAAGGCACATATTTTCTGAAACTGAGAAACACTCAACAAAGGGTATCCAAACTGACTCAAGTTGGGAAAGGACAGTGTTCTGTGTCACCATGCTAATTAGAATGTCTAAGCTGGTCAGGTAGAGGATGTTGATTGTTTAAGCATGTCTATTAGGGAAATTACAGAAACATAGTTGTATTGAGAAATGAGTGAGATAACCATGACACCATTACAGTAGTAATGCAAGGGACAGCTTAAAAGCAGTGTTAAGTTAAAATTAGATTCTGATAACTAAAGTTGAACCCACCAATAACATAAAATTAAACAATGTACATACAGACTTTTAGAGATTCTCTAAAATTTAAATGTTTGCCCACTATAAACAGATGTTAAACATTTTTGAATACTAGTTAATACTAGTAAGATTAAATAATTTCTCATTAAAACCTTGAGATCTATTCCAACAAAATTTGTCTATTCATTGCTAAACTCGTACACAGTCAGAGAAAATATTAAGAACAGCTTTCTCTGGAATGGAGCTGATTTAGTAGAGACTTAAGCAAATTCTAGAAAATAATGTATAGCACCAGAGGTAAGCTATGAACTAATGGGATATTTATGCTGGATTTTGGCAGTTCTGTATCAAGAAAATAATGGTGTGATGGGGGAGTGATCTCCAAAAACAGCCAGGACAGCATGATAACATAAATAGGCATTTGACATTCTTAAAGTATGAAAATCATCCATATCTTCACATTAATAATTAATATTAATAAAGGGTATGGGGAGAGAGAAAGAGAAACATGTATGTATATTGGAAATATCTCTCTAGGATCTACCATTTGTTTATTACCTGGACAGGCAGTGGGTACATCTTGAAAATGTTTTGTGCTCCTTGGAGGGTGTCTGTGTGTTCTACTAGTTCTTTGATTGGTAGATATGCCTGCTTGTTGCTGTGATGAAAAGTATGGCAATCTACCATTGAAAGACAACCATGGGTTGAAGGGTTGTAGCGGTACTGTAGTATGTGGCAGAATATTGAATGAACGTTGCTGTGCTGTATTTATAGCATTATTTGGAGAACAAGCAAATGAGTGGGGGATCCTTGGATTATAATAATTCTGTGCCACAATTTTTGGAATGGCTTCAGAAAGATTAAGTGGGGGTCTGGCCATAGAATCTTGTTGTGACTGTACCTGGCCATTACAACGTGAAAGTAGATCTACGACTACAGGTATCATGTTTGTTGAAGAGCCAACATTGATATTTCTTTCTTTAGATATGTTTGATGAACTAATGGAAAATGGAACGAATGGAGCTCTCAAATCTTTTGAAACACTTTTAAAAGTACCGCTCTCAGTTGGCAAGGTGCGGTCTGTTTTTGGCCAGAATGATTTTGTATGTTTACCAATATTTGTTTCTTCACAATTAACGCTGCTAGTCCTGGTTCTTTTCTGACTGCATTGTTTCCTGGACTTATGATTGTCATTACATGTAGGACCTGGATGTTCAGTGGATTGATTACAAATGCTGGCAACTAAAGACCTGACTTGTTTGTTGCCCCAACCCTCTCCTCCAGCAATCATGTTGTGTCCTTCTATACATTCATCTTTATTTGTTATTTTTTGCTTGTTCCTTATATTACTAGGACTTGATTCAGTCTTGGTCTTAGTTTTCATGGAGGCCATTGTGAAACTATATTCATTTGGATGTTTCAGTTTAAGTCTTTTACTGGTGTATTTTAAGACAGCATCTTTTTGAAAAACTGAGGAAAATGTTAATAAATTTATTTAATCAACATGAACTTTATCTTAATAACCATCATAATATTTTAATACTCGTGATTCCTAGACTTAGAGTGGGATTACAATAATTTGATTTTCAGAGATCAAAATAGGTTCTTTTACTTTATTATAAAATTTTCTTTATTTCCGCTGATGCAATTTTACAAACCTTGATCCCCCTTGCCTTAAAACCCCCACCCCAAATATCCCCTGTCCTAATAAAAATATTGTGAATTATAGAATTATAGGCCGCTACTAACTAGCCTAGTGACTAGTAGTGGTGACTAAATAATATGAATCATGAATATGTGTAAGTTTCTTTTCTGGCTTAGCAATAATTGATTATAATGACTTTCCCCTTTTTTGCTTTAAAAATTTACTACAACTAAACGTATACCCAGTTGATGTTAAGCCCAGGTTTAAAAAAAAAAAAAAAAAGAAAAAAAAGTTAGTAGTAATAGTATAGGCATATAATTTATAATAGTAGGAACTAGATCTATCCATTTTCAGTACAGACTTATCAACGCGAGTCAACAGTAACCCGTCTTCCACCCAAATAATGTATTCCTACTACTCAAATTCTTATAGTTAGCCAAATTACAAAACCATCGCCATCCTGTTTCCATCTAAAAGTACATGAAATATTTTACTTAATTATTATTTTTGGGGGTGTTTTAAGGTGGCTAAATCAGCTGTCGTGATTTCATATCAAGTTCCGGCCAAACAGAACTTTGGTTACGCCATCAACCGCCAACTTGTTTCCAGTGGTGGTTGGGGGGGGGGGGAATTGGAATAATATAATCAATAAATCATACATAGCCTAAATGAAAAACGTTTTTTCAGTTGAAATAAAAATATTAGGCCTATATGCTGTTGAATTGTACTGATGAGAAATTTGAAAGCTGTCGTGATTTCAAAACAAGTTCCGGGCAAACAGAACGTTGGTTACGCCATCAACCGCCAACTTGTTTCCAGGGGTGGTTGGGGGGGGGGGAATTGGAATAATATAATCAATAAATCATACATAGCCTAAATGAAAAACGTTTTTTCAGATGAAATAAAAATATTAGGCCTATATGCTGTTGAATTGTACTGATGAGAAATTTGAAACATAATTTTAAAGCTCCATTCCATGTGTGCAAAGCCTAATGAATAATTTTGAGTCTCTAGAAAGAACAACTTCAAACCATTGAATTGAATCAAATAATTTTCATCATAGAATAGCCTACACATTTATTTTAATTAAATATAGTTTACTTATACAAAGAGAAATTAATTTAGAATTACATGAAAAAGTATTAATTTGTTAAAAATACAACCAACACTTCTTGACAAAATTTTGCTAAGTGTTCTCAAGCAGACATTTGGGCTTGTTGCCATCATCTTAATTTATTGCTTTAATAAATATGCTATTGGGTTTAATTTTTAACTCTGAAGCTCATTGGATGTGAGCACAATCTTCTTCTTCTTCTATATCTTAAGGGCCCACGATCAATTTATTGATCATTTTGGCTCCTATGCATGTAGATGGGATTTGCAATGTTTCTGTTACTGGTGGTGATGAGGAAATTATGCACTAGGGGTTTGAAGGCTTGAGGCAATAGACACAAATGCGTCTAGTGTTGTCGCCTCAACTGTTCCTTTTGAAAGATGGTTCCAGTCCCTGATTGTCTTGGGCAGGAATGAGCAGCTCCTATACTGGCTTCTTGCTGGTATGAGCCTGAATTGCCTGTCATGGCCTCGTCGCTGTCTATGGGGGAGAGGGACGAGTTTCTGTTTAATACTGGAACAGTGGACCAGCCCATTATTTATCTTGTACATCATGGAGAGCCTGGATTGTCGTCGTCGTTTCTCCAATGGTGACCAGCCTAGTGTTTCTAGCATGCTGCCAACACTAGAGGTATTCCTGTAGCGGTTTAGGACAAAGCGTGCTGCTCGTCGCTGGACCGCCTCCAACCTGTCAATGCTCTTCTGGGTAAATGGGTCCCAGACTGAAGATGCATAATCTAAAATCGGACGGATAAAGGCTTTATATGCTCTTTCTTTCACACAGGAGTTGCCAATCTTTAGATTTCGCCTTAAGAACCCCAAGAGAACTACTCATGATACGTTAGTATGCCTGGAATCTGGCGGTGAGTACAGTGGCGTAGAAAGGGCTGCGGAGGATGCGGTCCGTCCCGGTCGGCACTTTTGTCTTTTTATGGAGAGCGGAATTTTCTTTTAACTAGCCTACATACTATTTTTCGTGGAAGTGGTTGGTAAAAATGGTGTTTTATCCGGGGCTGCACTAACGCTAGTTATGCCACTGGGTGAGTAAGGGCCTATAAAGACCGATTCTAGACTTGCAGACTTGGACAGGCAAAGCCATCCTCCACTGGTACAGTATCTGTTAGATTTAAATTAGGAAGAGATAAAAAAATTAAACACTAAGACTAAGTAGAGTAGGGTAATATATAATTAGAAAATACTTATAAGTTTTGTAAATAAATCAAGTATGTTAAGCATTGATAAAAGAAACAAAATACAAGTATAAGTTAAAATGTTACTGTTACAAGTCTTCATTAGCTAGTTATTTAGTAGGTCTACTTGATTATGACTTGAATAATGTTTCAAATTGAATATGTAGACTTAATATTGTTAATTAAGTGCGCTTTCAGTATCAGTTCAAGAGTACACCCGCAACTTAGAAGATATCATTTACATAACAATTAATAATTAACACATATTATTAATAAATGACAATATATTAAGTAACTATGAAGTAGATACTTAATCCAGGAGAAATAGTTTATAGATAATTTTCTCATTAAATTCTCCATTCCTAGCTTTATCTGTTGTTTTGGTAATTGGTTTGTGTATATTGTTTTGCAGAATTATCTCTATCGATGATGCCTGACAATGTGATTTAATGTCGTTAGCATCTCCTTTGGGACCTGAATTAAATATTTTTTTCTAAATTTCTTGATGAATAAAAGCAGTGAAAATATAATTAGCTAATTAAAAAAAAATGACTGGACATTCCGTCAACTATGATTAAGGTACAATTTAGTACATTTAATTTTGACAATACCAACATTTTTTGACACTGCTCTACTGCTCACTGTTACTACTGTTAGTAACAGTCAGTCACTGTTACTAACACTGTTAGTGTTACTGTTACACTAGGCACTAGGATTACAACAGTACACAAGTGACTATGTGACAAGTCATGAAGAAATTAATTTGAGTTTGAGTGACAATTCTAGTTCTATTTCTAGTTTAACTAGGTAATCAGGTAATCCCTTTTGATAGTGTGTTTTATTATTTCCACATTAAAATAAGGGATTACCATTTAATACTATTGTACTACAACAAAGTTAACAATAACAAGTACAATAAATATCAGGCATTGGGAATATTTCTACTAAGACTTAGAATACTATGACTTAGTGTAATTTTCATGGCTTTTGGCTTTGGAAAAGATTTCACTCCTAATTTTAAACTAATTTTAATTTGCACCAATTTTTAGAAATTTGAAAAATATCATTATCATCCTATTTTGAGCAATTGTCTGGTTTAAAAAAAAAAGAAAGCCCTAAATAATGAATGAATAATTACATGCTGTCACATCGAATGTCTAATTAATAGTTCAACATTCAAGTTAAATAAATTTTAAAAAAAAGTTATTTCCACATCAAACAAACTGAAACTGACTATCATAATATTAAAATCATGAATTATCTTTTTTTTTTTTTGAAGGGGGTAAATCATTTGCTACATTTCAAATATTATATAGACTACCTTAGATTAGATTGAATATGGCCCAAGATTCAAAATGGAGCATTCATGACAATATTTGGAACTTTTATGTGACAGACCCTCAACTTCATAGAAAAGGATACACCATCTATAAAGTTACATGTCAGGTAATTAATTCAGTGAAAGTGAATAGTATTCAAGTAAACCTGTCATAATTCTAAAATTGAAGAAACTTAATTCTATCTTTAATTTTGTTTTATTTTCAATGCAGGCTTTAACTCTTAGTTTGCTGTTGAAAGCACACTTTTTATGAAAATAGGCTTAGATTATGAGATTCTTGGCACGTAAACAACACCCCTACCTAAATTATTTTTCTCATAGAACCCTTCAAAAGACATTTTGTTTCAATGGAACCCTAAATCTATCACCACAGCCATGTTCTGGTTTCTAGGAAACATTAATATAGATACACCCACAAACATTTATTTTGGTACCAAAATCATAAAATAGTTTTTTTTAAACTGATCTATATGTCAATAGTTTATTATACAGAATATATCTATGAGTTTGTGGGATGTGGTCATCCAAATTACTTCTAAATTTGCTACAACACTTAGTAGAATAGATTTTCCCAGAAACTTTGGGAAATAAATGTTGTTTTTTGCATTTCTGCAAATGTTTTACTATCTGTGCCAATAATCAGTGTTTAGTCTCAGCTAAGCTAATTCAGTTATTGAATTTATTTGAATATTTTTATAGAGATATGGCCCAAATAGCTATCCCAATGACCATTTACTCAGTTATGTAAAAAAAAATCCACAAAATATGCATGAAGTATAACAAACGTTACAATAATTAACTATGTGATTCTCAAATTGAATAGACATATGTCTCATTTTTATCCCCAGACTTTTCCAATCAAATCTCCGGAAACCCTGACTGAGGTAAAGACCATAACTGGATAAATTTTTTATTGTGTTAAAAATAGTAATGTACACATTTTATAAACTACTTAGAAGTTTCCCAATGATTAAGAAAGATTGTGAATGTCTTTATAGCAGTTACATGAACTTGAGTAATAGTTATCGTAGCAAGTAGGGTTGCTCTGATTTATCAGCAGTTAACACTTTTAAAAAGTTTTGTGTGTGTGCTGGGAAGACATGAATAGCATGATGTGATATCTTTCAAAAATTTCTTTTTTCCTTGCTCATTTCCAAGCCTTTATTTTAGTATGTACAAAATGGCACAGGCTTAGATTTTACACACGTATTAATTTGATATGCTTTTGTGTGTAGATTTAAAATAAAAAAACTTGTGCATCATTCAATGAATAAACATAGAAGGTGGAGTGCATTCATAAGGGACGATGCAGAGTGTCTATAAAAAAAAATGGGGTCACAACTTTTCATAGTTATTATTGATAATTAATCATTCAATGTGCTTGTAAGTGAAACCTTAATAGCAAGTACATCTACAGTTGCACATGTGAATTATAGATAACATTTGAAGTGGTTGTTAAAATGAAATTATTATCCAGATTAATGCTTATATATTTTTTTCCAGCTTGTGTGTTGGAAAAGATACAATGACTTCAAGACCTTACATAAGTCTTTGTTGGCATTGCATAAAGCTCTACACAGACGGGACCAGTTCCCAGAATTTGCTAAACCAAAGCTATTTGGTAGGAGTTTATGTTTTAATTTAATGGCTTTTTCATTGTTAAGTATTAAATCCTGATTATATAAACAGATTTAAACTGCTAAAAATGAAAAAACTCATTACATTTTGTAATGCCAATTATTTCCTTTTTTCGAATACAACTGAATTAATATTTTTTTGGTCCTCAGTAACATTAGACCACTGTTTTGACTTTTTTGTTTGCAGTTATTAGAATTCTATATTTTGGTTGAAGAAAATCAACTTTAAACTGTTGACTTAATTATAATAATCTTATGGGAAACAAATAAAATAATTAAACATATGTTTGATTGATTTTGCACTATTCAGGTCGCTTTGATGACACTGTGATAGAAGAAAGGAGGCAAAGTGCTGTGGGTCTTCTAAATTTTATTGCTACACAACCACATCTGTATAAGTCCCTTGTGTTTAAACAGTTTTTAGAGGTACTTGTGCTATATTTTTTTAACAACCTGTATATTTTTACATTTGTTGTGAAATATTATAACTTTTGTTTACAGGTACCGGTAAAAAAAAAAAGGAAATAAAATTAATAATACAGTAAACATGCTAGACAACTTTGATTTTTTAAATTAAAAAAAAATATGTCTGCAATTATTTAAATTGAATTTAGGAATGTGCAACGCTGCCATCAGCACACGGCTTTTAAGAGCCTGTGGTTAAATAGGTTAAGATGAGAAAATAATTGTAATAAAGATGTTTGCTCCTTTGATCAGGATGGTAAGGCCAAAGCAGTTCCAAATAAAAACATTTCCATCATGACGCCAAGGCCTGCAAATCTTGACATCATCTCCAGTGCTACTCTGGCGGATGGGAATCCTCCTCCTGACCTTGTTCCACTTGTCCACAAAGAGGAAGGCTTGTTGGGAAGGGTGGTGTCATCGCAGACAGCCAACGCTGAACATCATGCTGATAATGTAGTTGAAGTTAACAATGGGGATTCTTCTAACTTTGCCAGGTTGAGCAATTTTAGAATCTGCACTAATAATCACTAATGACCATAATTATAACTTAATCTTTGGAATCTCTCTAATCTCTTTAACAATCACTAATGATCATAATCATAACTTAATCTTTGGAATCTCTTTTAAGGTGAAACTGTTTAAAAAAAAGAGTAAATTATTCTTTTTTTTCCTCTGAGACCGACATTAAACCCAAATTAATGACTCTTTATGGTTCATGGAGATGTAAGGTATTTCTTTAATGTTTTAAAGTCCCCCTTAAAGGTACTAAATCCAGCTCCCAGAATAATAATATGTTGACTTTGTGAGTTCAGCTTTAATAAGTTTGTTACAATTAAAAAGAGCGATGACGGTGGTCATGATGATTTCTATGCATTTGTTAACAGAGGAGAAAAACACAATTTATTTATGAACCTTGCCTACCCCCCCCCCGCTCAAGTTTAATTTACAACTCACTGGCACTAAGACAGTGAGATAAAGTCCATACGGTATCTTTTCAAGGTTGGCCATGCTGGAAGGGACTTGGAACTATCCTCAGGTCGCAGACAATATCAGTCTGGACTCCTCCACGGGAGATGAAACGGTGGACACGGACGAGGATTCCATCTTAACTGGATCCCTGCCCGACACTGACCTGGCCTTCTTTGACCCCATGGGTCACGACTCAACACTGACCAGTCCTGATGACCCCCCTGGTAGTCTGGGTCAGAGCAATAGCTGGCTGCTGGCAAGTATGAACATGTGTGCAGAATTGGAAACTAACAGCAGCAGGAACAATGGTAGGTGTCATAACAGCTTATAAGAAAAAAGTGTGTTCACTAGTGATATCTCCATTTACAAATAAAGATTATTATATCCCCAAAACAAATATTCATCAGTGAAGAAAAAGGCTGTATTAAGCTAAGCTCATTCATTAAAAAAAATTATCCCTTAGATTAAGGTGGTTAGAATTGATTTCAACTGAGTTATTGATATGGATATAATATATATATAAACAAAAGTTTTTGATTGATTGATTGATTTGATATTTATATCGTGCTGGTATCCATGCCACTTTAGCATGCTCACTGCGCTCTGGTTTTCCGAAATTTATTTAAACAAAAATTTTTTAAATGTTTCAATGTGGTCCCTGTATCTTCAAAAGTGCCCAGTTTTTTATTAATAATTTTCCAAGCATATGACTTATTATTTTTAAGAGATTTGTTTATAAACTCATTTAACTTTATTCAAGATTTATTATTGTGTTCAGTTTTAAGTGTACTGGTATCAGCAGACTAAGTTTAACATACCTCAACAGAAATAAAGTATTAATTCTCTTTATTCACTTCATATCTCCAACATTGTAGATTTCTGACTATTAACTATGTCTTTACCCCACAAGATGAGACCAAAGAGCTATCCATGACACCATCAATGGACCCAGACATACACGGCAGCCGTGCAGACACTAATATGAGCACAGACTCCACCATCACCAACTTGTCTGTTCTTTCATCATCAACTCTGGAGAAGTTCTCAGATCATGAATCAGTCACCCATGGGAGCAGTAAGAGCAGCTTGAGCGGCAGTGCAATCAACCCTGGTCAAAATCTGGACTGGGATGAGTTTGACCCCATCCGCAAAATGTCACAGACTTCGGACGCCTCCAAGGTTGAATGTGGCAAAGGTGATTTGGACTTATCAGCAGAGTGGGAGGCCAGGTCGGCAAGTTTTGGTTCCCAAAAATCTGTTGGTTCACAAAGGTGAATTTAAAAATTATAATCTACCATTATTTATTTTATCTTTAAACGAAATAAACATTGACTGGCTAATATTATATTCTTGATATTTTCTTGATTTTCTTTTGAACTGTTAATGCGTAATCATATAGCTCATGTTTTCTATATGTTGGAGAATTATAGTGCAAGATTTGATCTTTTCTTTTATAACATTTTGCTTAACTTACATAAATTTTGATTGAATTGATGTGCTTGAAAAACAAATATTTTTAATCCACTTTTAGTACCGTATCAATTACGCTTCTTGGCCACTTAAATGATTAAACGACAGTACATTACCAGAATGCTCCTCCTGCATGAACACATTGTTTGCTAAAACATTGCAATATGTTCTTAACAAGGGAAGCGATCTAATTTAACTTTGGCTTTTAGATTTGCAGGAGATGGACCCAGGGTGCCCGAAGAAAAATTTGAAGGTCTGGGGTCCTCTTCAGTCAAGTCATCAAGATCTCAAAGTGTCGGTTCAGAGAAGTCTCAAGACTCTGAGAAAGGCTCCAGCAACAAGTCCACACCCAGTCACACATCCAGAGGTCTGTTCAAGAGATTAGTATCGGGGAGCCCAAAGAAGCCAAGGTCTGCCACTGAACAAAGTGTGTCCACAATGGATCTTGGAGGTTTGTGATTGGTGTTATGTTAAAGTTCGGGTACTGAAACACCTTCTTAATTTAAAGCTTAATTATATTTTCTATGACGTTTAAAATTGAAATATATTACATCATCTTTACATTTTCCTGAACACTCAAGAGTTTAAGTCATTGATCTTTTAAAAACTTAATGCAGGGTTTGGTTTTATTATTATTATTATTGTTATTATTAAAGTGGTATTATATAGCGCAGTACCCCCAGCCTTGGGGTAGGCTCACTGCAGTACCACAGCCTAGGGCTAGGCTCATTGTAGTACCCCAGCCTAGGGCTAGATTCACTGCAGTACCACAGCCTAGGGCTAGACTCACTGCAGTACCTCAGCCTGGGGCTAGGCTCATTGTAGTACCCCAGCCTAGGGCTAGACTCACTGCAGTACCCCAACCTAGGCCTAGGCTCACTGCGCTTCACATGAAAATTGGGAATTACAGAAAATTATAGATTTAAAAACAACTATTGGTAAAGAGCTTGACCTCACCCACCCAGTAATATCTAGCCACGAACAGCACCCAGCAGCATCGAGCGTTGTTTATCAGTTGGGGGGGGGGGATAAGTCGGTATAGCAAAGTTGGAAGAGATGGGTCTTGAGGGCAGATTTGAAGGCTGGGATGTTCGGTATATTGCAGATGTATAATGGGAGAGAATTCCATTGTTTGGGGGCACAGAAAGAGTAAGATAGTTCACCATATGTTTTAGTGCTAGTTCACTTTACAAAACCAAATTGAATCTAGATTTAATTGTATATTTATTGGCCAAAGTTAACTAAGTTGTAAGCATTAAAAATTCTACCTGTATTAATTTTTTTAAAGGTAAAGAAGACTACATCTATTTAGCTGCCAGCCAGATCTGCATGGCCCAGAACAGTGAAGCTAACGGAGACTTTGAGGTGGCTTTTGCCTACTACAAGAGTGGGGTTGGGATTCTACTACAAGGAGTCCAAGGTTACCAATTACCTGTTGATTTTAAATAGTATTTATAATTTTTTTTTAAAGGATTTAAATCTTCAAGTTTCTCATTTAATTATGTACTAAATGTTTTTTGTTTTCAATCTCTGCTATTTAAAAAATAAATAAATTCAACCAAACAGAATGTATTTTTGAATTTGACATAATGGCATGGTTGCTCATAATTATTTCCCAAATATTGGTTTGAAAGTTTTCAGTATATTTTATCTTATTTTCTTTCGTCTAGGAGATGGCAATAAGTCTCGAAGAGACGCAGTTCGCAGGAAGACAGCCCAGTATTTAATGAAAGCCGAAGACTTATTTAACAGGCACCTGGCGACTGAAAATGTTGATGAACGTAGATGGGGCGTAAGTGACATTCAATGCAACCAAATATAAGCTGTCAAAAAAGTTGTATCTTTTATGTCAGAGTATCTGAACCCTCCACAGGCAGGCCATACTCTAAGTGAAAAATTTTAGCTTAAAGCAAATAGATAATAAAAAAATTTGGTCGGTGACATTGGTAATTCAGTCATCCAAATATAAAATATATTAAAAAAACTGATTTTTGCGGTAAAAATATTTATAAGTTATAATAAAAAAACCACTTAAAATGTTGCATCTTAAATATTAATATTAATTACTATCTTAATCTTGAAAAAAACCCACAATATTTCTTTAATTGTGTCCATTCTCTTGTTATATAGCTTACTGGATTTACTGTTCTCAGACGAAGGAAGTAGATAAAATAATTTTAAACCAGGAATATATTTTAAAAAAAAAAAGAATTATTATTTTTTTTCGCTATCTTTTTTTTTCCAACGAGGGGAGAGCTTATTTGAACTTTTCAACCCATGTTGTGATGTGATGTGCAGAGTTTTTTTTTTTATAGAATAATACCAATAGAGCAGATGGCACCATTTATGACAGGATTTTTGTTGTTTTGTTTCGACTTCTAGGCTGATAGCTTCTTATCACCTTCCCTGGATCTTGATCCTTCCTTTGCTTTCATCCGGGGTCCAGTTCGAGAATTGCGAAACTTTCAAGTTCTGGGAGCTATAGATAAAGTGATCCTGGTCAGAGATAAGGCCACTGATGAAACTTATGTTTTTAAGGTGAACTCATGTTGGATCACATTCTATTATAAAACTTTAGAGTTTAACCTGCATCATTGTTTTTTTTATGATATTTTATAGAAGACGGGCCATCTCAAATTTTATATAAGGCATTAGCATTAAAATGTAGAGGGGCTGATGATGGATCAAAGTTAGTCTGAATATTTTATAGTAGGCTAAGCCATCAGTTTTATAAAAATAAATGCTTGCACTTTGTGCTAATTAATATATATATATATAAAAACGTTAATTTAAACAAAAATAAACGTATGAACAGCGTTAGACTCTTAAACATCCTAAAAACAATCTATGAATTTATAAAATATATAAATTATTAGAAGTATGAAAATAATATTGATCCTAGTGGTGGGGGGGGGGGGGTAGGATATCAGGAAAAACATTTTTCAAATTGATTGATTTAATATTTGAACATTTCTCTGCCAGTCCATTCCCAAATCAAGTCCAGACGGAGGAAGAACACAAAGCATCCTGCCCACCAGCTGTCCACACATGGTCAGCTTGCACAAGTTTTACGAGACCGATGACTCCATCTTCCTCCTCCTTCAATATGCCAGCGGCGGCAAGCTGTGGACTTACATAGGAGATTATCTAAGCCGCGACAAGGGTCATCAGGGGTACGGTGGGATAGAACATCAAGTGAAAACATCCAGGGTGGAAAATGTCAATGTTTACTCTGGTGTCAAGGTTGAGAGCAATGTCGCCGGCAAGAGAGAGAGCACCCACAAGCAGCCTGCAGTACAAGCTAAACCTTCAGATGTTTCTGCAAAGGCCAGCAGCCATTTCACTATTGCTGAAAAATCTGGACAGATGATCAAAACATCGCAGGAGTTTGGAGTTGTGCGGTTTTCGACTTTAACCAAGGGGACCAGTGATGTAAGTGGAACTGTTGAACCAGACCAGGGCTTGATCCCCGGTGAGCTCGAGACTGCCGGAGAAGAAAAGGACAGTTTGAACGATTTACAAGGTCAGGATGAGTTTAATGACTCCGAGCTTCGCGATGTGTTCACTTCCTACAGAAAACAGCCGTTGGATAGGAGGTTCTCTAGTCTTTCTGATGACTGCGCTCAGGTGACTGAGATGGATAGCAGTGTTATTTCCCCGAGCACGCTTCCAGAGGAGGATCACTTTCAGAGCTTTCTGCAGGAGTGTCGTTTGAATGTTGAAGGTTTTTCCATCAACAGCTTTGACAGTGAAGACACTCAGCGGCTCAGCTTGTCATGCAGGGAAAAAATAGACAGCATTCCAGAAAATTGTGATGACAGTCCCACCAGGCCCTTAGCCTCTCGCCAGATTAGCGCAGATGAGATTTTTACATACACAAGGCGAGAGTCAAGGGAGTTGAGTCATAAAAAGGTTAGACACTCCAGCACGGATGGTGTTTTTTCGCAGTCCGCCAAAAAATACGCCTCTGAATTGAACTCTGCTGATGTTATTAAAAATTCTAGGCAACTTCTCCAGCAAGTTGATAAAGTCCTTTCGGAGACTGGTGAAAAAGTGAGTGACGGTCTCACAACTACATCAAGCCACACCTCAGATGACATCCCTCATAATGGAGCTGTGCTTGAGCCAGAGTCAACTACCTCCAACTGCTCGGTAGAGGAGCCAAGCATCTATGATGCCAACAGGTCATCAGAGGATGACACCAGTGAAAACAATTCTAATACAAACAGTGATAACATCCTTGATGTTGGGTCTGTAGAGGTTAAGGGTGACATCATTGACTCCCTTGATAACTGTGGTGTCTGTGGTGAGGGTAACACTGGGATTGAAGAAAAAGGAAACCGTGATGTGAGTTCTGTCATCACCAGCCTTACCCATACAGAACAAAATGTGAATGCCATTCTAAATGTTTCAGAGAACTACAGGCCCGGGAAGCTTGATAAAAGTTTGTGCAGTTCAGTGTTCAGACAAACAAGCACACCGCATAAATTAATTATCAGCAGAATGAACTCGAAGGACATGACAAGGTCAGCATCTTTTGAATGCGACCTCAAGTCTCCCACACGCAACCGAGCCAGGACGGTATCCGATTTGTTTGAAAGGTTGGACAGCACCAACGCAGAACCGGTTCGGATCCCAGAGCCAAGCATAAGAAAGTGGATGGCCCAGCTTGTCACCGCAATATCCAGACTTCATTCTTTAGGAATTATTTGCAGGTAGATTTTGTGGTTTCTTGTTTAATTCAAATGCTAGCTGGGGATGTTTATGTGGAGCCGCTGTCACTGTAGCTTGTTGCCACTGATGCAGGTGCTTAAACTTGCAAGTAAGAGACCAGTATTTTGCACTTGAGCCTTGTAAGCTTATAATTACTTGTGGGCTGCCTGAAATCTATGTACTGACACTGTAAAACATCATGCGCCCAATAAAGCTAAGAAAATATAAGAAAAAAACTTTGATTGTGATACAATGCTAATTGCCAAATGGCCCAGTCAGCAAGGCAAGCCAATAAGATTTGGCACAAGGCAAGCCAATAAGATTTGGCACAAGGCAAGCCAATAAGATTTGGCACAAGGCAAGCCAATAAGATTTGGCACAAGGCAAGCCAATAAGATTTGGCACAAGGCAAGCCAATAAGATTTGGCACTTGGCAAGCCAATAAGATTTGGCACATGGCAAGCCAATAAGATTTGGCACAAGGCAAGCCAATAAGATTTGGCACAAAGCAAGCCAATAAGATTTGGCACAAGGCAAGCCAATAAGATTTGGCACAAGGCAAGCCAATAAGATTTGGCACAAGGCAAGCCAATAAGATTTGGCACAAGGCAAGCCAATAAGATTTGGCACAAGGCAAGCCAATAAGATTTGGCACAAAGCAAGCCAATAAGATTTGGCACAAGGCAAGCCAATAAGATTTGGCACAAGGCAAGCCAATAAGATTTGGCACAAAGCAAGCCAATAAGATTTGGCACAAGGCAAGCCAATAAGATTTGGCACATGAATGCAATAAAAAAAATTAATAGCTTCTTTTATGTCGAAAAGTAAGCTATGGGCCATAAAGATGACTGTTTCCTGATAGGACTTATTGTTTTGTAACTTAACAACGTGATTGAATGAATTCATTTAAATGTATAGACATGAATAAACTAAAGCAATTGAAATAAATGCACGGGAGTGAAAGATGATAGTTTAATAAATACTTTTGAAAAAGAAATGCATCGATTCCATTTACGTATTTCATTGAAGAAAAATCTAATTAAACAATAATCATAGGCGACATAACTTATGGTATGGATGATATTAATTTTTGCCATAGGACTGTGTGCACACATAGAGCATGCAGCTATAGATGATATTATGTAGAGTAGATAACTGTTAAGACTGTATGTAATCTTAGACCTCATGACTTATGGGCTGTGATATTAATTTTTGCCATATGACTGTGTGCACACATAGAGCATGCAGCTACAGATGATATTATGTAGAGTAAACTGTAAGACTGTATGTATAGTAATCTTTTGTTGTTGAGAATCATCAGTTCTTTCCCTTTTTTCTTAAAACGACCACCCCCCTCTTTGCAGAGACTTAAAACCAAATAATGTCCTTCTTGGAGATAGTGGTCAAGTTTTTCTGACCTACTTTTGTCACCTTGGTCAAGGTGACTATGAACTTGACTGGGAGGCTGTCCAGAACCTTTATGCCGCCCCTGGTAAGAGTTCAAGAATAAATAGTTGAAAATGTCTGTCATTTTCATTTAGTTAAAGGGTAATAGATGGTTTAGTATCCAAAAAAAAATAATTTTAAACTTAATTCAAAGACAGATGGGAGAAACAGAGTTAAAAATGTAAACTTTTTTTAAAAATTTTTATTTTTTTGCATTTTTTCTCGACAGAGGTGGGTTCCATCAATAGTTATGATAAGTCATGTGACTGGTGGAGTATAGGAGCCTTGTTGTTTGAGCTGATTGTGGGGAGAGTAAGTTTGCTTATTTAGCCCATCATAAGTTGTTAAGTTCAGTAGTATTTAAGGCAGGTAATGTCCATCCAGCATGGATGCATGTCATGAGATCACCAGAAAGATACCGTTTTATTATTAGAATGTTTCTAATATTAAAAAAAATATATTGAAGGATATTGGTGCTAAACTTAAACCTAAATTATATAAGTAAATGTGTTTAGTCATTATTTAGTCATAAGGATATTGGTGCACAACTTAAACTAAAACTTAGAGCCCTAACTTAGAGCCCTAACTATACAAGTAAATTGTGCACAGAAAATTCCCAGGTTCTTCTTTAGCAAAATTTTATATTTTGAAGCTGAAAAATTATTTTAAAAAAACAACAACCCTGTGTTCTGTCCATTAGACTCTTGCTGAATGCCACCCCGGAGGTATCAACTCACACACATGTCTCTATGTGCCAACATTTGTATCTGCAGAGGCCAGGGGATTGCTGGAAGGAGTAAGTTGAAAATTAAACATCTTAATCTTACTCAATCAATGAACAATCTGTAACTTTTAACACCACGCCTCCCCCCCCCCCACCCCCTTATCTGATACGTCTTGTCTTTGTGGGGTTTATTTGATTTAAGCCACCGTCACTTTGCTTGTGAACAAAAGTACCAACATTTGTATCTGCAGAGGCCAGGGGATTGCTGGAAGGAGTAAGTTGAAAATTAAACATCTTAATCTTACTCAAACAATGAACAATCTGTAACTTTTAACCCCCCGCCCCCCCCCCCCCCACCCCCTTATCTGATACGTCTTGTCTTTGTGGGGTTTATTTGATTTAAGCCACCGTCACTTTGCTTGTGAACAAAAGTGTCACTTTCCTTGTGAACAAAAGCACAATAACAACAATAATAATGAACGAAATGTTTGAGACATGAACATTTAATGCCTAATTTTTTTTTCTGTAAAATCTTGGTGACAAGGTTTAAATCAGCTAGTATATTGTCCATCACATTGTCATGAAATCTTTTATATTGGTAGCTGGTGTCATCTTTCATTGAAATATTCTGTGTTCATTGATGTTTATGCTAACCTATTATTTTCCTCACCTCTCTCTTCCCCCTCTTGTCAGCTGCTGAAGCACAACCCCCATGAAAGACTGGGATCGGGGATAGCTGGCTCAGAGGAGATCAAGGCACATCCTTTTTTTTCAGGAGTTGACTGGCATGCACTTGAATACTCATAAAATAAAATATTTCAACGTCTCTTCAACACTGGTGGATTGGATCAATAGTTTTTGTAGCACAAGTATAAAACACTTCATTGACAAAACTATGATGTTTTCAACAGTTCAACAGCGTCTGTTATTCTCAGTGTGTGTGCTGTTTGTATCGTAATGCAATACCTTTTATTATAGAGAGTTAAAGCTGGTCAGTTGTGCACCAAACTGTATTCACATTGCCAGAAAAGTATTTTAATTTAAGTGTGTTAAAAATGATTCTATTTTGGAATGATATTATTTCGTGCCCTGTGTAAATAAAATCACACTGATTCATTGACCATCTAACCATTTTTTTTACTTTGAAAGTCTGTACCCCTCTAACATATTTTGTTACTGCTGTATAATACATCGTGATTGCAGCATCATGACAACATTGACAAAATGTTTCATTGACACACCCACATGATGTTTTTTTGTTTTGTTTTGAAAAAGCTTTTGAACTGCAATGCATTTTAAATGATTGAAACTTGGCTCTGTGCTCTTAAGACCAGGACTTTCTCTTTGAGTCCCATCCAAAGTCTTCAGGAGATAGATAGAAAAATCACATCACATCCTAAATTTTATTTTGACATTCCCCGGTATTGCATGTTTCACTATCATATATTTTATTTTATTTTTTGCTTCTGTTAATTTTTTATCATATATCTCAACATTTTTGTTTATATATATATATCACTATTTTTGTTATACATCTCACCTTTTTTTTTTACATCTTGTTGCCTCTAAAT